ATGCACAAAATTACTTTGGTTTTTTAATACCTGCTCTTTTTAAATAAATCAAAGTAGATAGTGAAATTATAAAGGAAAAAATTTAGTCTTTTTTTATATTACACCATATTAAGAATTTCTACCCTTGAAACTCATAATTCTAACTTTGATCCAAAAGTTGTATAGAATCCAAAGATAGTTAAAGGAATTAGAGCAATAAAAACCTCTACGTGGATATTTTTAAAAAATTTACATAATCAATCCTTAAAAATAATCTCTTTAGTAGCTATTTATTATAAAAAAAAAAGTATTAAAAGAATGCTAAGACGAAAAAAATATATATTTAAATATATATATATATATATATATATATATATATATATATATTGTTAAAAATACAACAAAAAGATAAAATAAAATAAAACTATACAATAATTTAGTAGTAGCTTTGCATAAATTTAATAAAATAATTAATATATAAAAATAATAATTAATAAATAAAATAACTTGTATAGATTTTATAGGTAATAATTTTTATATTTTAGAAATAAAAAAACAAAAATTACATCAACATATATAGCATGTATAAGATTAGTGATGAGTGACAGTTGGTAGTAAAATTATTTATAGTTATAAAATTTAGTATCTAAGCAAGTGAGTATCAAATTTATAGCTTTTAAATGACTTATATAATTATTTAAAATTAAAATTAAAATTTTATTTATAATTTTTTTCTTCTATAATTTTAAAAAATAAAAATAAAAATGATAGAATAATAAAAAATAATAAAAAATAGAATAAATATTAATATAATTTAAATTAAACTAAAAATTTTATGAATATTATATAAAGCTTTTATCTTTAAATTATTTAATTAAACATATATATATATATATATATATATATATATATATGAGGTTTTAAAAGATTTTTATAGAATGTAGTTTTTTTAAACAAGATTAACAAATAAAAAGTAAAAAATTACTAAAGAAGTGAATTTTAACTTTGCTGAAAATTTTATCAATAGTATTGATTTTAGATTTCTAGATTTTATTAAAAATATAAAAATATAATATTTATTTTTGAAGCATTTTAAATTTAAAGGATTTAAATAAAACAAAATAAAATATCAATTAGTTATGCTTACAATAAAAAAATTATGCAATGGTCTAGTAAACCATGAAATATAAATAATTTATCTAAATAGATAATTCCAATGTATGATATAAAATTTAAATAAAAAATATCAAAATATAAATGAAATAATAAAAAATAAAATAATTTTTAAATTTTTTGCCATAAACCTCATATTGATAAAATAAATTTTAAAATTTATTTAACTTTAAAATATGACATACCACCAAAAATTATGAAAAATGGCCATTTCAATTGATTTATTGTAAATATTATATAAAACTTATAAGTACAATTTCACAATATTATATAATATATTGTCTATTGTAAAAAAAATTAATGAGTTAATTTATGATAAGTAAATAATATAAGAAAAATCTAAAATCTATTAAATTATGACTTTATTACAATTTTAGCTATACAATTTTTTGCAACAAAACATCTACGAATAAAATAGAATTTGGTTCTATAAAAATAATTGATAAAATCATGACTTAAAAGTGTAGATAGTATAGGTTTTTCTAATTTGTTTAGTTTATGTTCTTTTCTTTTTTAGTTCTTCTAATAAACATTAAATTTAATTTAATTTAAATAATATATTTGTAAAAACTTTAAATAAGCACACTTCAAATATATTGAAATCTCTTTTGAATTAAAGTTTAAAAATAACTGGTTCAAATAATAAATAATAATTTATATATATATATATATATATATATATATATAGTTTTTTTAATAAGATATTTTTTGTAATATAATATTGTTCAACAAGATATTGAGTGACAAGATTATCTTAACATGAATTAACTTTTTATCATATATATATATATATATATATATATATACACAATCTTATAGATGCTATTACATTTTGATCTCAATTTTTGAGCAGTATAAAATATTCTTCTTGTATAAACTTTTTTTTTTCTTCTTTTCTTTTATTTTGAAATTTTCAAAATATTATATATGTTTAGTAATATTTATGTTTCTAAAAGTATTTTTGATAATTAATTAAATTTAAACTAATGTAAGATTTTTTTTGTTACATGTAATAATAAAAGATTTATATAGTTATCTATTTTTTATTGATTAAATTTAATTTTATATAATAATCTTTATAGTTTTAAAAAAACTAGAAACAGATTATCTTTTCTTCTTTTACATCTAATAATGCAAATAATAGAACTACAATTAATTTTAATTAGAAATAAAACTTAAGTATATATTTTATTAAAATAGTTAAACAAAAAAGTATTGAATTTTAAAGACTAAATATAAAGAAGAGGTTTGTAAAAATAACAGTTAGAATTCAATATAATAAATTCATAACTATTATATATATTTTTATAGATTAAAATACAAAATTCTAAACTCTAAGTGAATATATATATATATATATATATATATATATATATATATATATATATATTTATATATATATATATATATATATATATATATATTTATATATATATATATATATATATATTTATATATATATATATTTTAACACATCAAACATAATCATATTCATTAAAATATAGGAAATTTCTTCCATAAAAAAATACAATAATCACATAAGAATTTAATATAAATTATAATAGAAAAAAATCTAAAACCAAACATTATATTTATAACATCTATTTTTATTTGATATGTTAATATAACAAAACATATACAATCATAAACACTTTTTTAAAAAATATTACTTATTCTTTTACAAATAAAAAATAAAAGTTCAAAGCTATAAGAATAAATAGATTAAAAAAAGTATAAAACTGGTTATATGAATCTCTACTAGTCAATTAAGTAAAATTTATTTGTACCAATTATTAGAATAAATAATCAAGATATGTATGGTAACTATTATAAGATATGACAACTTATTATTTAATAATTTAAATCTATTTTTTTATGTAGTACCTAAATCAAAACACTGTATCACCAAGAATAGCTAAATCATCAATTTGAGTAATATTATCTTAAGATCTTACATATTTGTAGAATTCTATGCCAAATTTTTAAGAAATAAACCAAATACATTATAAAATTAAAATCCCAAAATATGTTTAATAACAATCAATATAAATAAAGTATTAAGTGAGCAATAATTTACATACAAGTGACATTTTAAAATGGTCAATTTCATTAGAAAGTTTCACCTCTTGACACTTTTTCTTTTAAGTGTCAACAGGTGAAATTCTTTATTGAAAGTTGTCTGAAATTTGTAACATCTATTAAATAAGAATCTATTATTGAATTTAAATTTCAAAACCTAAAAATAGTTCACTTGCACAAAAATATAAATAAATAAAAAAGAACATCACATACATAGTAACATCATAAAAAATATATATTTGAACTTAATATATCATTTCGATTAAGAATGTGATTGAGATACTATTTACTTTCAAGTGTGATAATGCTTTCATATGCAGCAAGTCATACAATCTTTTATGCATCCATTGTTTTCACAAATATATATATATATATATATATATATACACATATATATATATACACACATAAACTATGATTATTGAAATGAAACAAAACTAACCTGAGTTGTGATATCACGTTCCTTCAGGGCTGATTGTAATCAGAATACTTGTGCTCATTCCAGATTGCTGCATGAAGAACCGCAGTTGTAGATCCACCGAAGGATGCTTGTTCGCTGTTGGCGGCGCTTCAGAATCTGCTCATGGACCTTGGGATTCTCGTTTCTTCAACTACTGGGTTCCTGTTTTTTTGACAACAAAAGCGGCATCAAGTTGATGAAGAACCCATTTTGTCATAACTAGAAAAAAGACCCTTAAATATTCACTGCCACCGCAACTGTGAGATGGTTGAAGATGATTCAGTATCTTCACCAGAGCTTTGGGTCGCATCGACTTTGAAGACTCACACTCCATTGCGTGATTAAGCTCCTCCCTCAGACTGTCGCGTATGCATCACAGGTCATTCGTCTAGGATGGTCCCAGGTCGTCTTCATATTATCATATTGTCAGGTCTTTAAGGTGCTGTTGAGATTTCGTTACTGCACATTCACATCATGCTCCATTTTGTTCGCTTTTATCCCCCACAAGTTCTGAAACCCCCCCCCCCCTTTCCCTTCCCCTGCGAGGGAGGGGAGGGAAGGTAAGGAAGAACCTCCGAAGTGAAAACAAGGGTCGTCCCATGTTGTAACTCTTCAATATGATACAGACCTTGATTCATCAACACGACTCTCTAACAAACTTCATGATTCTCTTCCAGTTGTGTTAACATACCAATAGTATTGACGTTTGAATAGGCGTTAGAATGCTCTACTCAATGAAATTCCAACGTCGACTTAGGTCGCAGTGGTTAGCAAACGAAGACTGATTTGGAAGTTCCTGCTTAGGATTATTTAAGTTATTCCTGCTGATATGATAGATTCTAGGAAAAAATATTGGCACCGTTGCATATTAAAATCTTTGAAAGATATGAATATACCTCACCTGGCATATCATGCAAGATTTTAGATGCAAAGATGAGGTCAATTAGCACAAGGTTCATGTTGCAAGCACAAGGACCGAGTCCAAATGGGACGTAGGTCAATAGGAGTTCGACCAAGGATAATGCCACGCGAGAGGACTGCCATGGTAGGTGGACCTCCTGTGATCCCACTTCATGCTACGGTCACTGCTGGTGTCCCTGCTCTAACTCTTACGACTTTGCTGTGGTCATAACAATGCCCTATCTGAGTAACTCTGAAATAATTATTTGTACATAACTGTTGCCTCTGAAATCCCTTCAATAGGTGTTGTGAAGAAAGAGAAAGAGAACGCACCTAAACGGTTGTGGGATGTAACGTTCCACCTCAAAACAAAATGATCAACACCTAACTGTTTGATTGTGAAAGAGTGTGATGTACGATTTTCCTTGAATTAGTAAATTGATCCCAGCTAGGACAGAAAAAACAAAAGTGCGTTGATCCAGTTGGACCACATAGGCCACAATCCTAGGGGAAAGGCGATTTTAAATACATGAAAGTTTCTGAACAAACTTCAGGAGCTAATGTGGAGATTTTTCATAGCCTGCTCTGAACACATCTACTCGAGCTTGGCAAGTCAAAACTCCAGATATTGACAGTTCTAAAAATAGAAAGAAATCGAAGTCCACGAAATGATTCATGGCATGATTGAAATAGGGCCTGAGGTCGATCTATTTACCGATAAACGGCAGTAAACATTTCCACTTCAACTATACAAGACGTACTATCTCACAGTGCCAAGACTTGGCATGCACCCCGTGGTAGTGGATCAGAGAACCGAATTTTGAGGGTAATATCTTCGTAAAACTTCAGGGAGGCAGACGGTTTTGCAGGTTCGGTCTTGGAATCGCTCACCTCCACGACAGCTACAGCTGCTCGGGTTGCTCCTATCCGAGGCTGCAAACCTGTTCCAACAATACAAAGCTTCCCACCAAGACTCACAAGCTCCGGGCCCCATGCCAGAACAGGCGCAGAATCCTCCAAAACCCCCTTGATGGTTTCCCAAGCGTCCTTCCTCTCATTATATACAGAGATTTCATTCTTGCCTTCAAGTGAGTGTGAATCCCCAACAGCGTACAACCTACCATTCATAGCAGCAGTTTTGGATTGCCAACCTATTCAAATCACAAATATTAGTTAAATATGAGACTGCTAATGCAAAAGATACAGTTCAGTGTCCAACATTTTATGGTTACCAATGTATTCTCTAGATATATCTAACTCACTCGACAATTGAAATCTCATGTTTCAAATATTACATGAAAAAACGTTCCAGAGTTGGTGCATTCACCTGTGTTAAGACCATGGGCCATGTACACCCATTCATCTTGCTTTGGGTCGTAAACAAGCCCAACCAAATTCTCGCTAGAAGAGTTCACCACGTAAAATTTGTTGCCAAGAACGGCAGAGTCATAAAGCTCCATGGAGATCTTCATTGATGAGATGAGGCGCCATTCGTTCTTAACCGGGTTGTAAGCTTCGGCAGTTGGTCCTGCGTCCTGGTCACGTTCTGTGAACCCTCCTACGACATACAGCTGGTTGTTGATAACACCTGCTGATGAAGACCATTGTATATGTGATCACAACATCGTGGAGAACATAACAGGGCACACCTTAAACATTGACATCGACATCATCAAGATAGTACCCGTTTTAGGCTATGAATTTAAGGAAATTAAACTTGCTAATTAGATGTGAACAACTTAGTAATAATAGAAAGGCCAGGGTTCCTGAATATGATCGACCTGCCATGCATTTGGCCCGTGCAATGGTCAGAGGGGCTGCAGATTTCCAGGAGAAGTGTTGCATGTCAAAGTATGAAACACAGCTACATGCATTGCCATTGTCCAGCTGCCCACCTACCACAAACAGTTTCCCATCCACCACCGCAGAAGCGGAGTTCCCAGCAGTGCACTGTTCATTGGGCAAAGGTGGAAGCGTAAACCATCGATTCGATTGCGGGTCATACCCATGCCACACGTTGGCTCTTGAGGAATCCTAATAAAAAGAAAAAAACATGCGAACAGGCAGTGTTGAGGCCATTACTCCATTCTTCTAAGAAATTTCACTCTCTTCAATCCGAAAACTCAAGCTGGAACCGTACGGGTTCAACAAACTAGTAGAAGTGATTGTCCTTCACTTCTAAAGCATAATTGACGAAGAGAGGACAAAGGAACTGGTGCTCACACTGGGGTGCTATGCAGAAAGAGATACCTGAGTCCACAAAAAGAGCCATTCTTCAGTTAGAGACAGCTCTTGTCGGATGTCATAAAAAACACCAGTTTGTAAGAGGCGTCGCCAACTTCGACAAACTGCACTAAGAACTGCATGTTGAGCTCGTGGTACTCGTGCCAAGCAAAGAAGAGCAAGCTCGTCTGGAAGTGAAGGTATCAGACCCCGGTATGGTTCTTCCTGTTTTGATCCTCTACGCCTTCTAGAACCGCCCTCGGATGCCATTGTTGATCGTGTCTAACCAGTTTAAAGAAAGAAAAATCAGTAATTTTTCTTTCTCGAATATGCATTACCCTAAACCAGTTCAAGGAGAAGGCTTTTTTAAAAAAGAGAAAAATGTGCGAGAGGTGAAGTACATTGTTGAGAACGTGCTTATTAAACCAGTTAAAGAAATGAGAGGGAGAAATATTTGAATGTCGAACGTGACTTTGAATCCAATGGCTTTTTACGTGAAGAAATAATATAGGAATACAAACTCTGAAACAGAACCACTAAAATTATTCATGTAGCCTCCAAACCAGAGTTTAAAATAAAGACCATGCTACAGTTGATGCTCTAAGGAATTGAAGTTAGAAAGGAACATTAATGCCTCCTTCTGAATGGTAAATTATCAAGCATGACGATGTTCTGTGCCTAGAATAGGGCACAATGTACCCACCTGGACTTTCATCCCCTTCTGTCTGGACGACATCAGTTCCTACAAGCTTATTAATTTTCTCTCTCAGGTGGAAAGCCTCATCCAGAGCCTTTGCAAATTTACACGTATCTTCTAAACCGCGCGTGAGCCATGAAATGTAATTCTCCAAGCAAGACCTGTTCTGGAAAACAAAGACTCATGTCGATCACACATTATATACGTACATATCTACAGAAATAGCCTAAAACTGGAACAAGCGCGTACACAAGTCACAAATAGAGGCCATAATTCGCAAATTACTATTCTCGAGCCGCTTACAATGTTGCTCTATCGTTGATCCTGGATGTACAGTCCGACCCTAAAAATCACATCGTAGAAACTACGGAGATCCTATCTTGGCTGCGTGAGTAGGAACCTTACACGCTAGTCACACAACTCGCCCACTGTCCATTGCGCAGACATCGTCACTCTGAGCATATAATGTACACGGAACGCAATTCAGAAACACTGTTTCGAAAAATGGCTGCTTGCGCGCGAACTTCACAAAACATACAAATCCTAATAGTAAGGAAAGGTTGTAATTAGCATCTGTGAGACCCTCACCTCCATTCACGTTCACAACCATATTCTCCCGTGTTCTGCGCATCATTCTGTACCATCCAAAAGCAACATCAAGACGAATCAAGTCCTCAGTATTCATGGCTGTCCCTAAGAACAAAATTGCGATTACGTCAGAGAAAGCTACAGTAAAAAATCCCACAGAAGTAAAGCCAGGACACAATTCACACCATAGCATGGTCAATTGCATCAACCATGACACAATCAAGAGTGCCCGCTCTATAAGAGCAACAACAAATTGGCGACATCGTAATTCTCTCATACGCTACCGATCCCCAGCTAGAAACATCTAAAGGACATCCAAACATTCCTACCCTTATAATTAAGAGAAGAAATATACCAATGAGCCGCACCTCACCTTCGTCTCGTGCACAACATTCTCAACTATGCTTGATACATCAATAATCTTCCAAAGCGTTAAAAGTCTCAAGCCCTCTCACCCCATTCTCACCCATCCACATAGAAGCCTTCGTAACAAAAACAAATTGGCGATGAAACCCAGAGGGCGATCCAGATACCAAACATACCAACACATCCACCCACAACATGCCAAAACACCACCGACTTTTTCTCCGCCTCTGGGTGCACACATACAGACTCCAATTGATAACCACCTATTCAAGCTGCAATTCAACCAAGAAAGTACTCCGCACGCAACACACCCACGACCGTCTCCACTTTCCTGTGACCTCTTCCCCTCACCATGTATCTTACTCTCGCTCTGCCCTTCCGCTACGATCCTCCCCACGATCCCTCAACGCAAACCCAATAATGAGCACTCGCAATTGGCCAAGGATTGCGTAGAACGACGAGTGCTTGGATCACCAGCAGTGCTGCACAAGGCTCTCATCATCAGTGCATCAGGCCCCCGTTACCCGCTGAGTGCCTTTACCACCGGTAACTCGTGATCCCCATGGGTAACACACACCGTCGTCTAGTAACACCCACTGACTGCTGGTCGTCATAGAGCCTGGAGAATGGCTCCTTCGACGGCCCCGATTGGGCTTCTTGTCGTTTCTTTCAGACCCAGTTCACAAATTGACCAAACTCTCTGCAGTTTTCTCGTCCCCCATCCCCGCCCCCGTTCCCCCTGTCCATCCCTCACTTTCCGATGCAACACCCACCGTGAGAAAATCCTTCGATGTGGTCATATGCCTCTAACTTCCATATGGTTGAGGATACCAGCAAAAGAAAGCCAGCACTTCTTCCCTCCGGCTTTTCCTAACGTCATCTCTTCAGATAGTTGCAATGCGTTTGCTTGTGAGGGCTCACGCACTCGCGTAGAAATCATGATGACTTGTCTTCCTATAAATGGTGCCGAGGATTCGCAGAGATGGTGTTGATGTGGGCACGTAATTGAGAATAAGGCCCCTCGAAATCGGGTCCCAAAGGAGGAGGTTTGGCGAACTCCACAAAAGGTATGATTCCATAAACAGCTAAACTTGGAGTGAAGCAAGAAGTTACGACATAAGTTTAAATAAAGTGCCCCAAGAGATATAACAGAAGGATTAATCGAAATGGGTGATATTCTCGGAGGGCGAAGGATGCAGATTTCTACAGAAAGCCTCAAATCTGGCATACTGCGCAATCAACTATTTGGAATTGTTGGCACAGGAACATTGAAGATGGCTCGTTGTCATTAGGAAATGCAAAGTGACAATTTTGAGAAGCTTCTTCATGCCTTTATTGAGAGTAAGGGCTGGAACGCATAGCAAAAGATGTCATGTAACTGAGGTGATCATCTTTTCGTGTCACATCGCCGGAAACTTAGGCCACTGGAAAATGAGAAGTTGGTATAGAATACGATCATTTCTATATACAATGCCTCTGTTTACCTTAAACGCAATACAAATGCAACAGCTACGGCCACAATGGCAGCAACTCCAAACCGTGATAAGGCAATCTCTTTCCATGTTTGTGGACCAGTGATGATGGCTTTCAGCTTGTCGACATGCATTTTTGTATCCTCGAGGGTGCCGGAGTTATCAATGACATAGTCGGCCATCTCACGCTTCATGTCCAACGGAAGCTGGGAATCAATCCGTGCTCGCGCTTGCTCAATAGTGCTGTTGTCGCGCTTTGTCAGCCGCGCTTCCTGCGTGGTGCGATCCACCCACACCACCACCACTGGGTTGGTGAGATAATTCATTTTCATCTCAAAAAGTAGCGGAATGTCCATTATCACCACTGAAGTACCCCGTATCCAATGTTTGAAAACCTCGTACAAGAGACCGAGAGAAATACATGGTTGCAATGCCCTGTAAAAGATAGACCACCATTTAGACCTTGAGCTATCATGATTTTAAACTAATTGACGGAGGAGGAGGTATTCCCGTCACCTATGACGGCGTTCATTTGAATTGAATAACAAGACAATCAACGTCGTCAACTTCACTTCAATAATTGATTGATTCAGGGTAACGTAGCAGTACCGATTGAGCATGCCCCTCTTGGCAGGATCGTTAAAGATTATTTCACCCAGCTTCGCACGGTCCACTTCCCCATCCTGTCGTAGTATGCCTTCCCCAAAAGCGGCCACTACTCTCTTCCAACCCCATGTGTTCTTGTCCAATGCCACCTGAAGAGACATGGCCAGCGAATTCAATCTCAGTGCCTTAAGTTCTGCCCTTGAGGCTAATATTGCTAATCTTAGCTCCTAATGTAAGAGAGTAAAGAAACTAGGTGTAGATGTACTCGGGGATGAAATTGATTTAAACCCCTTTGAAACGAAATTCTGCTGAAACATTGAAAATCTCGTTGTAGTTGCATTGTGCTGGACAAAGTCACATAAAAGAAACGGCTCACTCCCGATAATTGGAAAAACACAGCTTTCTCGGATAAGACCTAATTTTATGAAGCATTCAAAGGGTTTGTATGAAAAGATGAGAATTCAAGTACTTGGTAAGGTTAAGTTCGATAGACCACTAAGCAGATCGAAACCCTAAACCTGATAACAAATCCACACAAAGTGCTTCGCAATGGTTGCAGAAAGGCAGTTGGGTACGAAAAATACCCTTGCAACCTTGTCCGCATCCACGACTGGCAGTCCCTCACTCTCCAAGTGGCGAGAGACAGTACTCTTGCCAGATGCAATCCCACCTGTAAGGCCTATCAACCTCATCTGCACAACTCCCGGGTTTGCTGCTCCAACCTCAGGATTGTTTTCCCGTTGTGACTCAAAACTTGGGTGGGCAATTCCGCAATTCTCAACTGGATACGACGCTCCTCCACATGCGCTGCTCCTCGGCGATTTCTTTACAGTGAAAGGAAAAGACAGTTGGCGCATTTCCTGATGACGAAAGCCGGAGTTTATCGTCCAATTTGAGACGAGAGTTCTTATCTAGGAGCGACGTGGAAGGCCAGGAGAGACGCTCTCTGGATTTCGCCTTTACAGTCTCGCTTTCTTGCAATCGATCCACTGTTGACGATCTTGTGGCAACCACAATTGGGCGGCATTGGGTGCTATCGTTAGCAGAGTTTGCTAAAACACTTGGAGTACGCTTCAAGAGCCTAACTAGTCATCTCTCTCTCCTTCCCGTACCCTGTAGTTCCTCTTGCTTCGACTTTCAGTTGCACGGTATCGTACTTACAGGTGGGTAAACACGCAGTGTAGGTTCATGTTTCTCGTCCTCTCTGTGTTTGTGATTATAAAAACGACGAATTAAATCGATTCAGACTTGCATTGTAGTTGTTAGATTTGGTACTTGCATTGCTAGGCATTGTGGGTTGCTCCCGTTTTGGATGACACTGCCGGATTCTTACTTCCGGTATGTAATGTGAGGTTTAGAGAGCTAGGAAACTCTACTTGTAGAGAATTTTTCAACATTGCTACCATTGGCTCAATCAAATGTTTCCTAGAACCTGGTCACCTCTGCACTATTTTTTGAACTTAAATTCAACTCAATGGTACCTAGGAAGAATGCCGTGAGTACGCAGTGAGCAATTTCTTCTTTAATTGCTCCTGCCTGCGTGTAGACACAGTCTTGGACATAAAGATGTGCATTATTTGTGGTGTTTGGAGAAGAGAATTGTGGGGTGCGCTGGTTTGCCACTTCTAAAATCCTGGTTTCTCTGCATATGTCATTCGTATGAAAGGCTTTTATCTTTGTTAGTGATTGATCTTTGCTTCTTGGGTCACATGAAAGTGGCATAACTGTAATCGTTTTATGTGTTTGCGTAGGGGGGAGGTATGGCCGCGCTACAGATTTCGAGCTCCCTCTATTCTTCGTTGGGCAGGGGATGCACAACAAGCGTTCTTTCCCACGAGGTACAGTAACTCTGATAGGTTTGACTCACCAGCTGTAGACTTTAGTTCGTTCCTTAGTTGGTAGATTGTATTGTCTATTGACATTCCTGCGTTATGATTTGCGGGCTGGAATTGTAGATACATGTAAAGCTATGATTGTAGTAGCTCTATTCCACTGGGAAGCCACTGAAGTTGATTTTGGAGTTGGCAGACAGTTGCACCAGCTAGGGTGAATGGTGTGGTTGGCAATTCTCGAAGCCGAGCTGCAGTTTCTTGCATTAGGGCTTCGACGTCAGAATCCTGCAGTGGTGAGGATAACGAATTTTGCCGAATTAAATTCTGTTTTGTTATTATTAAGAATACTTTCTTATCATTGCTTCGAACCTAATATTCTCCTAGCCTTGGAATGATTTGTGTTGAATCTAAAAAATGACATGAGTTCAACTTGCACTAACACACTTGATGGTGCGGTCAAAAGAGTCTGAGGGCATGACCCGTAGACATGTCTTGGGAGGTGCTGCTGCTGTAGCGGCCACCATAGCTACCTTCGGCGGTCCAGCACTTGCTTTAAGTATGTTCTGCAACCCTTTGTTTTTTCCAATACTGCTTGCTTTCCAATAGGTTTCTACATTATTTGTGTCAAGACGATTTGGAGAAGAAATTAAACAGAATCAACTTCGAACCTTTAGGCGAGTCCTCAACAGACACCTATCTCCCCTTGGTTTCATATGGGCACAGCGTGTTTGTGAAGCATTATGTGAGTTAAACCAGTAGATGAGCCTCAGGATCCATGGGTTGATTAGAATCTCATCATCAATAACACTTCGTATAGCATTCCATACTGGTATCAATACTAGTGACACCGACATGGATGTTATTGATCCTGTGAAGGACTCATTCCATGCACTATAGAATGTTCTACCACAACCATGAGATAGATGTAAGCAGCAGGATAGTAGTTAATGCAAGGCGATGGTGCGCTGCAGTATACACAGGCTGCTCTCATCCCTGCCCAGACGAAGTATGATAACTTAGTGGATTTTTGGGCACTCATTCCATGGTGCAGACGCTCCCAAAGGTTATACCGCTGTTCTGGACAATGCTGATGGTTACAAGTTCTTCTACCCCTTCGGCTGGCAGGTGTGGATTTAACCGCCCATCCTTCACTAGCACATTGATTTCTCTCGTCTCTTTCGGTGTCTTATGTAATCACTAGCTTTGATAGAGATTGATTGCATCGAAGTGATAATGTGGACTACTCCAGGAAGTTGCAGTGAAAGGTCAGGATGTAGCTTTTAAGGATGTGATTGAGCCTTTAGAGAGCGTGAGCGTGAGCATTATCAAGACCGACAAGTCGAACTTATCAGAATTGGGGTCTGCAGATGAGGTCAATTCCTCTACAAATCTTTCTTCCCATCTTGAAATGAAGCTTTTCAAGTATGCTATTGTCAGTCAGGTTCATATGCTTTAAATTTACAAGTGTGTGACGAATGTGAAGGTTCTCTCCCTTCACACTGATTCGTCTTTTTTTCCTTTTGACTTCTTCATATGCAGGTTGCTAAGGCACTAGTGGAGAGGGTGTTGGCTTCACCAACTCAGAAGACTAAACTTGTCGAAGCTAAAGAGGTATGCTTCTAATTCAAATAATCACTGCCAAAAGCACTTTTTTTTCTTCGTCTGAAGTGAGGATAGGGTGGCTAATTACACTCACTGAATGTTGTTCGCTTTGTGCAGCGCGTCAACGACGGTATTTCTTACTACACTTTCGAGTTTATGACGAAGGCTTCGAACTTTACACGTCATGGCCTTGGGACTGTGGCCATTAAAGATGGTACACTTCGGCTCTCTTCTTATGAATTAAGCTTTTCTATGCCTTGCTGCAGTCCCCACAGTTGACAGCTTTCAATATTCCAACGTCCGGACATCAGCATGACTTGGGATCGTCTTTTATTACATTGTTGTGTTGCGCCTCGTATTCGAGAAAAAGATATTTATTATATATCTTGACATATAAATCACTATTCCGAATCTGTTATTCACAGGAAAATTCTACACACTTACTACCGGTGCAAACGAGAGGCGATGGAACAAAATGTCGGACAAACTGAAGATGATTGTCAACTCTTTCGAGCTGCTGGTGTAGAAAGCAGTTCAAGTCTCCGAGACCTAGACGTGAACAGTCGGTATTGTATTATCTTTTGCGATTCCAAATGAATTTCTCTATTCTTTTTCCCCTCTTTATATGGCTTATATTTAGTCTTGTATGAAAGAATCGTCATAATTTTGCAATTGAGAAACAACCAGCCAGGATTGTTTCAGTTTTATGTCGTACTGCGGAATGCTATGTAAAAGCTCCCTACGAAAGCCTCTCATGAAAGAGTTTAAGGAATTGACTCAGTCCTTTTTTGTAGCTGCTACTACTTTCGTTTAAAAACGCTGTGGATAAATGAAACCAACCAATTACGTTCGCTCCCACTTGGCATCATGTGTGTGCAATGAGTCGTGTAAAGGTTGTCAAAAAACAGCAGCAACGGCACCTCCATAGTTGCATGGCAAAAAATGCCTGGCCTTCGATGATTAAAACCAGTCCCGTATGACTCGTACTTTGAAGTATGCTCACTTGGAAAGTAAAGCCAGCAGCTGTACCTCAGTGCCCGACACACTCCGTTGTAGAGAAAATGGTGATGAGTTCTAAAAGTTCCAGTTCATACCTTCTGTGGGTTTCAAGTCTGTAACACATCAACCACCTTCCTATTATTCTAATCACTCAGATGGACCAGAATCGAACAAAGCCTAAGAAAGGTATTTCGAGTTGTAATGATTCTGTGTGAAATTGTGTAACTGCCGACTAACAGGAAGCCGATCGTTTTAGATGGCACTGCAATAATTCATCAACCACTGATAAATTTGGTCAGCCCTTCAGCAGGAGAGAACTCACAGCAGGTAACCTGGCCTCGTGTGTGAGCCCATTGCGTGATCATTGAATAAAGGGTATCCTAACAACGCTAGAATTACGATGAATGTGCAAAATTTGCAGGTAATTGCTGGTTAATACATGAGAATATGTAGTATGTCGGCAAGTGGGTTTTCATCTGATAACCGAAGAGCATCCTCCACAGTTTCCTTCTACCACGTTAAATCCCCTCTTCCCCTTCCGCTCCTCCCTTCTAGCAAATATGTTGTGTATAGAATTGTATGTGCATAGTTAAAAAATATATACTTAAGTACTTAATTTGTCCATCAACCTTGAGCAATAATGGAACTTCTGCACAGACTAAAATCAGTACTTTTCTGCTACTTTGCTTGTGCTCTAGATAGAACGTTAGTTTATTTATTTATTTATTTGATTATTAAACATTGATTATTTGAAATATCTTTTGATTTATTACAGTTAGTTTCTAGAAAGCATTTGATAACAATTTTTGTGTCTCCTACAAATTAAAATCAATTTTGCAGCGTTTCAATTTGAATCAAATTATTTTTGATGTGAAGTGAGTTACGTACTTATTAAAATTAAAATTTTATCCAACTTTATATATCCAACTTTACATATACAAATTCTAAAGACAATAGCAACAATTCTAATGCATAAACAATTGTATTCAACCTTGGTTACTTAAGAGAACTTGCTACCAAACTTGCTACCAAACATATAAATAATTAGAAAGTCCTAATCTTTTTAATAAAAAAAATTGTTGAAATAAAAACCTTTGCAAGAATATTATATATAATCAAAAATATATTTTTTCAATTATTTTAAGGATAATAATCTTGATATTTATAAATAATAATAATAATAATAATAATAATAGTATTTTATTTTTTAAGATAAGATTTAGATAATCACAAAATAATTCGAAAATAATGACCATTTAAAATAATTCCAAATAGAAATTAATATCCTTCTTTTTAATTTTGTTCTATTATTATATTATAAAATTTCATACTTATATTTTATTCTTTTAAATTCTGTTTTTTATTTTTTTATTTTCCTATTAGCTATATCTAAATTTATACATATACATGTATACAAATGACTTTTCTTTTCTTCCAAAATTCACCATTTTATTTGATATTTTCTAAATAATAATATATCTGACTTATCAATTTAGCACCTATGGTAGCCAAGGCTTAAATTTAGAATGTAAATTTATGTGATAATATTTTGTTTAAAATATAAAAATAACATGAAATTATTTTTTAAAATTTTTAAAATTATAGATGTAGATGAAATGAGAAATATAACTTCTAATAATTTATATGAATTTTTTTAATTTTAGCATCTCTAATATTAAAGAAAATTCACTTTTAAAAGAAAATAAATAAACATATGAAAGTATAAATTATATGGCTCCAAAGGCATAGGACAAATTAATATATATATATATATATATATATGCATTTAAAGAAAATGTTAATTTTTTGTTATATTTAAATCTAGAATTTTTGTCCCCTTTTCCTTTATTTTTGTAAAAAATATATATATATAAATAAACAAATCATATAAATAAAGTTTTTAAGTATAAAACAATTGTGAAAAAAAAAAAAAAAAAAAAAAAAAAAAAACTTTGATTGAGGGAGTCCTTTGGGTGTTCGGCAAGGATGTGGAGCTTTGGAAGCTAGGAATTTGCAGCGTTCCAGTGCAAACTTTGGCCACAACTCTCAATTACAGACCAAAGTTATAGCTTAGACAAGTCATAAACAAATCAGGTTAAATTACAAATATTTACAAATATAATTGTGGATGTCCTTGGATCACATTACAAAATCCTTCATAACATAGAACATTGCATGTATTCTAATGTCTTTCTAAAGCATAAAAACCAACCAACATGGTTCTAAAACCTTATATATTTGAGCAATCTCATTTTTTCATACTTTATTTTTGTCCTTTTATCATTATTATTTTTAATGTTTTTATTTGATTTCTGATTTTTTTTACATCATTTTAAAATTGAGTGTTTTAGTTTTAATTTTTCAAGTTTATGTTTTTTTACAAATTTTTGATGCCATTGTGACTGTCTATGAATTTTTGAGATTATATATTGGACAGGTGCTTACACCTTTTACACATATACACATGTTTTTTAGAAATCTTTTGCAGCTCACACAAAAAAGAAATACTATTGATTATTATTGTACAGCAAGAATTACACAAGTGCAATTTGCATTTACCAGTGGTGAAACAAGACATATCAAGCATTATTAAAGGAGCATGTTTGAGTCATTACACATGATTTAAATAATGGTATATCACATTCTGCAATGCAATAATACTTATCATACGAATCCAGATGGACATCATTTAATCTTTTGAACTCTATAAAAAGTCCTAATATACAAAACTGGACAATTTTCACTATTATCATTTATTGCTAGTGCGTGTAGATAATAATCCAAACCCCAACATGTCTTTTACCATTCATAGTAAAATTCATTCATTCATGCAACTTTTTTGAAGTGTACAACCATTGAATTCAACTTTCTCCTGTGCTCTAAAACCTTTCTGCACTATTTAGAGTGGCCTTTCGTTTTTGAGTTGGCAAGACCCGGCCTCATTACATTCTCTGTACTACCATTTTGGACACTACCTCTCATAAATTTCATGATTTAACACTCGAAAGTGTACCGAGATATTCAAACTTGATACAGTTTTAGACTTCGTTTTGCTTTTGCGAATGGTGTGCTAGTTGCATCCTTGAATCCAGACCTCGTTGCAGCAAAAATTCAAAGCCATTTCTGAAGAGGGAATAAGTATGGGCAATCAGTGTATCTACTAAACAAGGTCACTTCGCTCCCCCTTCACAGAGGAGAGAGGATAAGAAAAAAGAAAAAGAAACAATACTGGAATACAAATAAATCCGTGAACTGTGGGCCTGAATGTGACAGCGTCTGTTTCTATCGCCTAGCCTTTCCTGACACGGTTTTTCGAACTGCTCCAACAGAAACTAAAAACTCGTCAAGAGAAAAGAGGGTTTTCATGTCAGCGTCAGGGAAAAAAGATGATGCTTTGCTGAAAATTGTGGCGAGAGAAAAGCCAAACGCGGGTGACTTGTTCTCCACCTCTGGTAAAAGTTCATCAAGGAAGTTGAAGGCAATCCTCAAGTCACGTCCATCTGCAGGTATTGGAGCTGAGAAATGGCAAGGAATGATGGACTTGAATTTCCAGTCTTTTATAATACGGTTTACCCAGTCCTTGACCTGCAATACAGAACACAGGGTGAGTAAGTCTAAGACCACGGCATTCCGAGTTCGACCGAAAATGCTTTAAGTATTCTAATTAGAAGAACTAGATTATGCAAGCCTGTTGTCTAAGAATTCCTAATTTACCCCTTGGCGAACCAGGAAAAACATTAATGTACACGTTTCAAACAAAAGCATAATCAAGTTGAGATTATCGTACCCGCTCAGGTTCTTTGCTAAATACAAGTGTTTTAACTATAGGAGAGACGATGAGCTTCTTCGACATGGTTGCAAAGCTCTGCTGCGGCTCTAGCAAGTCCGCCGGACCGAGGAACAAAATCTGCAATACCATTCTTTCCCAACCTGACACCAGAAAAGACCCTGGTTCAAAAGAGAGAGAAATTCCTCGCGTCGAATGGAGGCAATCAAAATCCTACATAACCAAAGACACAAACTTTGCATACGCAGCAGCTAGTCACCTTTGTAGCTTGTCATAAATGTAACACAATGTGTACCTCTTTGTCTGGTGGCTTCATCATCAACAATTGGATCGTCGGGAATTTCCTTGCCAGCACTCAAGATTCTCACTGCCAGCCCATTTTTTGCAGCATCCAGAAGCGATTGCTTACCAACCACTTCCGGGGGTTTTTCTGGAACATAAATGACCGCATCTGTCACCAGCAATGTTTTGGACTTTTTGTGGAAAAATGCCACCTCCACATATGGACCAATACCTGACACAAGGGAGCACTGAGAGTTTTATAAAATTGCATCATAACAATTCCAGGGCCACCACGGCTCAACGACAAATGTCAAGGTCATTGTGCAAATTCCATTTTATTGATAAATATTTTTAAAAATGAAAATAAAAATGATAATAAACAAGTAAATAAAGGGTAGTCAAGTTTGAAATCAACAAAGACATGAGCAGTCTTTGCGAGTCTTCAAAGTCCTTGCGACTTACCGACTGGGCAACTGAGGACTTTCTGATCGATTTCGTCGGCCCATGGAGCAGAGAAGTCGTCATCACGTAGGGTCTTGGGCTTAAAAATGCCAAAGAGCTGCACTGGGAGGTTGATAGGCCAGCTCCATTGTCGGGGTGCCACCCAGACCTGAGCTTTAGGAAATTTGCGCGAGAAAGGTCCGACGAATATCTTGTGCTCATACGCGAAAGTCGGCAGGACAATGTACTCCACTGGCGCTTCCAACTCTTTCAGAAGCTGTCACCCTCCAACACATGAAATCATTCCCACCAGCCTCAGATTTACAACAAGGAACCAATGGTGCATTCAATAGTTCGAAACTGCAGATTGAGTATATAGTTTCGGCCCCATAGAAGTACCTGGATGCATTCTTCCGTGGGTGCAATCGGAGCGTGAACCCACAACCCTCCAGATTTCAGCATGATTACCGTCATGCGAGTATTGGTAGCCACACTGCTGAAGCCCAATGCCTGCTCCTGCTCAAACGTCCATATTCTGCCTTTCTCTACCTACAAGGAATCCTTAAAGATTTAGACAAAAACAGGATGATACGAGGGCAATAGACGTTCTCACGTTGAATATGTCTTGGTGATGCTCGGATTGAATAAGCATTACGTCGAAATTAGGACAAGACAATACACTAACTCTGGATTGAAATGAATTGGAAACCCTAATATTACCTCTTTCCTGATGGTGCGTCTCTGCAGGAAGGGGCCCAAGGGGAAGGGGAAGCCAGTGACGTTGAAGTAGAATCGACCAGGAGTACCCTTCTTTTCTACAACAGACATGACACGAATGGAGCTCGCCCTCCTTCTATTTTCCCCGGCCATGTCAGAACAGCTCGTAGAATTCCCTGTTTGTGAGGATAGCTGCACATTATCTGCGCCCCAGAATTCCGACGATGCGTAGCTCAGGCAGGAAGAGGATTTTTGAGACATCCCCCATGAAGACGAGCTCTGCACCGAGATGGGCGCTGCTGAAAACTGCGACGACACTCTAAGCTTGGATTCAGAGCCTTGATGCAACTCACAGGAAGCACAAGACCCAGACGGTAAAACATGAGCTTCCACCTGTAGAGCCGTGCCGAGACGCACACCGGCCATGGCTGCACTCATGCAGTATCCAATTCCTCAATTCACAACACCTGCATGCCAACAACACTCACTCTCCCGAACTACCACTCCAACTCGGCCCCCACCCCCGCAAGCTTAAGCAGGCATCGTATCGCGAGCTGCGCGCAGCACAGACATCGTTCCAAGTGTATCTATCTATGCAAGGAAACAGAACCTCCGTGAAGCGAAAACAACAATGTTGCTGCAGCCCCAGCCACAAGTTTGTCGAGAGCAGGTGGGATGACATCATCCTGGAATCGTTGGAAGCAAATGGGGAAGTGAATGGGGCGCAATGCGGAGTGCGGCATTAGATGAATTGCAGCTCCGATGCTTCCACGTCGAAGATGGGAGACCACCCACTTTTTGCCTTACTTCGTGCCGCATTCCTCCTCCTCTCGCTCTCATGCACTGCCTGAATTGGTTTTCTTTTTTCTTTTTTTTTCTGTTTTTTTCGTGTGTGTGGGGGGGGAGATCTTTCAACAAAACGAGAAGTTTCTTCTTGACCCACATTCATGGTAAAAGAGCTTGGAACAGTAAATTGAGATTCCTCCATCTCTCAGCAACGCGGCGATCTACACTAGCCAGCCTTGGTTCCATTCTGCGACGGAGATGTGCGTGTATGTGTGGTAGTGTTACCGTCGAAGCGACGAACGAAAAGAAGACGAGAACGGACGAACGGACGGACGAGAGGGAGACGGCTTTGATATAAGTACTATATCAAAGGACACCCCTTATAGCAACAGCTATTATAGTGCATTGTGCATGAAGTTTATTTGGGACAAGTTTGATAAGACAACCAATCAAAAGGCCAATTTATCTCCTAGATTTATTCTTCGGTTTATATCCCTCTTGATGTGTTTTACATAATAAATAGGAGTGCTCTTGTATTGTGTTTTTTTTGGCAAAGGTTAAGGTTTTATTGTGAGGATTTCAATTGTAAATTAATCCAATATAATCATTTGATTTTATTATGTTTTTGAGGTGTTTTGGACCTATTTTGGTAAAATATGTATATATATATATATATATATATATATATATAATAGTTTTGGTTTTTTAGTCTTTGGGTATGTATGTGTATGTATATATATATATATATATATATAATTTTAAAATTACATATATACATACATACATGCTATATAATATTATTATATTTTATTTAAATTTTTTATTTTTATTTTTGTATTTTCTAATGTAAGATTGTTGATATACTAGCCATTGTTGACAATATTTTTGGTATAAAAACATAATAAGATCACATTTTAAAATATTTTACATAAACATATATACAAAAATTAATCAAATTTTAGTAAACAAATAAAAACACATTAAATTATTAAATTATATATATATTAGTAAAACAAATTATAGCAATATTTAGAAGGAGAAGATTTTTAAAAGTTTAATATTTTTCCTTTTTTAAATTAATATCATACAAATACATGTTACATTATTTTATGTTTTGAAATAAGTTTGTGTAGTTTAAGATTAAGACAAGCACATACACATTCTATTTCATTTGAAAAAAATATGTAAAAAATATATTGAAAAAAATTTGCAATTGTAGACAAGAATTAGTCTCTTGTCGCATAAATGCTAAACATAGGACTAGATTATTAGTTTTGTAACAGTGATCATATTACATTAAATTGTGTACTTGCAAATTCACGAAATGTAAGCACTTTTACGACCTCATAGTGTGTGTGGTAAGTTGAAAACTATTCAATCAAGAATGCTGAAGAATGGAATTGTTTCTTCCAGTCATTGAATCACATTGACATCATTTTTGGCTGCTACAATCAATGAAGTAAAAATGTTGTATTACGGTCGTTTAAAAAAAATCATTGACACTGAAGATTTCTAGCTAGCGCAGGATATGGTAGGCTTGTCATGATATATCTGGCAAAGAATCGGAACTGAAAGAAATGTTGGTGTTTCATAATTTTTTGAGAAAACATCATGAATTGGAGTATAAAGATTCAGCGGTTACACGTACACAACTATAAGACGATTGGTATGTGACCTCCCTGAGGCAGATACGTGCTTTCGCATCGGGCTTGTCTGGTGTTCTGTGGCTGCGAACTACAAAATTTCAAATTATGGAGCAGCAAGTTCAGGGCTTCTCCGGCTTGGATTCGAGGTTGGATTTGCTAGCTTCGCATACTTGACAATTTGTCCGTTGACAATCTCCTGTCTTGTGATAGATATATCAAGCTGGCGTTCAAATTTGCTCAAAACAAATTCTTCCCTTGCTTCACATACTGATATAACTGTTCCTTTGCGACCCAGTCGACCTGTTCGACCACCCCTGTGTGCATAGTGGGATCCATCTGTTGGCAGCTCTAAGTTGACAACAAGGTCGCAGGTGGGAATATCTAAGCCTCTTGCACCAACTTCACTAGTTACCAGGACTCGCAACTTTCCATTACGAAAGGAGTTCAAGATATTGGACCTCTCCATTTTACTCAATTCGCCATGAAGCGCGCCTGCACCAGAAAGTAAATGTTTGTTACGCATTTCAACGAAAAATAAACGGTGAATAATCACATCCACAACATCAGGGCTACGGATGACCATCCAAGTGCATCACTAGGTGGATCAAATATTTGTAGCCTGAAAACTTATGCAAAACCAAAACGCCATGAAACCTAGTAAAATGGGCTGGGTACAAGGATGTAGAGTAGGAGCATGTACCTGCAGTAAGGCCTCTTGCTTCCAGCTTGAACTGAACGTCTTTCAAACGACGAGAATGATTCAGAAATACAATAACAGATCGTGCTTCCAAAGCGTGAATGCTCTTCCTCAAAATATCAACATGATGTCTTAATGATGCCACCACATAGAAATGTTCTAGATTGGGGGGTAAACTTTCCTTCGCTCCTTGTAAATCTGGAGAAACAGTAGATTCTTTGGTCTCCGAGTCAATGGAAGAAGGTTCCACTCTAAAATCTTCGACCCGTATGATGGATTGAGCTCGAACAAGAAGAGGCCGGTGGCCCCATACGGCTGCCGCTCTTAAAACTGCTTGGGGCATTGTTGCAGAGACCAAAAGAGTCTGGCGCTCCACCCTCCTGTACAAACAGACGAATACGACATCCATCATTGAAGGAACTGTGATATGAAGGTGAGACTAACTAGCCCAGTCATAAGTTCTGCAAGACTAATGCAGCATCATTCGCTCGATGTGTTAGAAATTACCCAAGAACCTACTAGCATAAATTAGATGACTACATCTTAACATGAAGAGAATTCGTCATACTTCTTCGCTGGTTTTGCTGGTGCTTCTTCGCTGGTTTGAGTTGCTGTACTGGACTCAGATACTGATGGAGTTTCGAAAGAATTGGGCATAGCAGTAGAAACACTTCGGCGTTGGCCCACGTGTTCCAGTATTCTGCGCATGTCGCTGCGAAACTTGATTGAAAGCAATTGGTCAGCCTCATCGAGGACTAAAAACCGGCATCCATGCGTGTGGAGTTTTCCAGCCTTGCTGATCTCGGAAATTCTTCCTGGTGTTCCCACTACTATGCAAGGTTTGTTCTTCTTTAAGGCTTCCTCTTGCCGACTCTGATTTGCACCCCCAATCAACTGCTGGACAACTTTTTTGTACTCAGAGCCTAAGATGCGTTCAGCCTCCCTTACAATCTGCATAGCTAATTCTCGTGAAGGGACCACAATAACAGCCTCAATACCACCCCTGTTGATGGTTTCATCTGTGATAGCCTTACCCCCTTCAGATAGCTCCCTCAGAGGCCCAACTCGAGAGAGAATGGGAAGCAAATAAGCTAGAGTTTTACCCGACCCTGTGTATGACTGGAGTGCTGCATCATGCCCATCCAAAATTGTGGGAATTGCTGCTACCTGCTTAGCAAAAGGATGGAGTAAGCGAGTGCAAAAGAATCTACAGTTTAATATCCAGATTTCAGACTTCCACATTTCTACCATATTACAATTAGTCAACAGGCTTCTACGTTTCTAGTTTCAAGTAAGTGGGATGAGTCTAAACCCTAAACCCCATGCATAGTACCTAATTTAGATAACTTTCGGCATCTGATCTTAAAACCTAAATAACTCGCTCAAGACAATTCTCCAATGCGTTTACGATGAAGAAAAAGAGATGAGTTATTTTGTGCTAGTAGATTCTACGAACCGATACGTTGGAAGACCACAAACCAATCGAACCATAACTAGGAGCAAAATAAAGAACGTACCTGCACGTCAGTAGGGAGTTCCACCCTCTCCTGCTTCAACCTCTGCAGCACACGCCTCGAGAGATTCAGAGCAGAGAATTCTTTCTCCGCAAAAGGAAAGGAGCGAATATCGACAGGAGGTGCTCTTGCAACAACCTTAGCCTTCACACTCGCCTTTCGCTTGGCAGCCCTATCCACCACACTGTCAAGCCTGGTAAGAGAAAGGCCGCCGTCGTAGAAATCGCTCTTGGAAGAACTGGTAGAAGGATCATTAACAGAGGAACCATATCGGGCCGTCGTAATACGAGCGAAATGTGGAGAATGGAGCCGCGTGGGGTGAAGGCGGGCGAGAGCTCGGTGTACACCAGCGTGAAGTGATGAAAGCGGTCCTGCGGTGGCGCGCATCGAAATGGACAACGCCATTGTTAACTATGCTTTCACCTACCAAGAAAAAACCCTGACAAGCATCTTCAGCTCTGCGAATCAACGCCCCCTCCCACCCACTCAGTGACGAAAACGCGATTATAACAAAACAGTGCGAATTGTAGCCTTGGTCTCGTTGAGTACTCTTCTCCCACCATCACTACGTACGTAGCAACAAGTCACAACTGGTATGCAGCATGCATATCGTATAAACCTCCCACCAAAACAAGCTCAACACAATCTGCATCGTAACCAAGACCTGTTCCTTTCCGAGGGCTATCCTTACTTACCTGCACAACGAAAGAAAATGTACATATAGGATGTCTATCATGGTATCTTCATTACCTAAGTTAATTTCGTAGACCCAATGAAGAGCGCGAATATTCTGGCAACATCCCTTTCCCGAGGCTTTCCATACAATTACAATTACCACTCAAGAAGCACAAATTCCACTTCCAGCCGCTTATGTCACTGGATTGTGATGTTTCCGGTGAGTCTTTCGATGTAACTGGTGAGTTATGGTGCTGCTTCGCTCACGCGAAATCTTAACTTGAATCATCAGGTTTCAATAAACTTGGGACAGAGTTCACGAAGTCACGGAGAGCAACAGTACAAATTAGAACCATCTGTAAACCGAGCAGAAGCGCGAGTTTGTGATCACAAGAGCAAGTCAACTCAACTCCCTCCATTCTTCATCTCTTCTCATTTCATATTATGTACCTCGATCTACCTCGCAAGCTCACATTGTTTCCATTCGCCTTAATTGAGGTGGCTGGCGGCCTTGTATCCCGCAGTGAAGTAATTTTCCAGACGACTGTGCGATGCAAATTGTGCAACTTCAACTTGTACATGCTTAAATGTCCCCACAATTTGAGCAAGGTTTGCAAGAAATTGGCCTACACCCTGCGAATGATTAGAGTTTGACCTCCAAATTCTCATGTGTTTTGCCGCAGCCAAACCAATTTATGTGTCTTGCAACCGCCATGGTGTACAGATCTCTTGGACCATCGGTGGCTTCAAGACATCACCACACTTCATGTCACTTTTGTCAATTTATCCATGCGAAATTTATGGATAAATACATCATCTGCATGTTACAAACGACCTGACTGCCAAGACGTGGTTAATGAAGGTCGGCGTCAATCCGACATGATAAATTTCATAAATCTCCATCGAAGGATCAGTATTCCAGCCAGATACCTCCCCTTGTCGAAGCAGTAGGATCACCATTAGTTGTTCCTTGATCCCGTATCCAGCAACCTCCACTACAAACGAAAAAACAGTAAACCAATCACTCAATCATGCAAACATCTCATCTCCCCTTTCGAGATCCCGAACACCACCATTTCGACACATCTCATTAAATTTTGCCGCAACGTAGTGAATAATTTCACCCTGGGCCAGAAAATTGATCCATAAACCACAGATCGAGGAAAAACCAACTCTCGCAATCGTAATTGAGGCATGCAAACGCAGGATCTCGCAATGCGAGCTGACTGCGGCAATGCCATGGCCACACAAGACACTTCTCGTCGTCGGCGGCGCCTCACGCAGCTGAGCAATCGTCGTTGACACCGACGGAAGCGATGGATGTCTTCCGGTCCGGCTCCAATCCGTCGGTTTCATGGACGTGGACGTTTGCCGTCTTCGTCGCATCTTCACGTGATGGATCTACACACTTCCCTCCAAAGCATCAACGAAATGGATGAATATGGAATTTTCTCCGTCCATGCCCCTGCTATATCAACGATTGTTGTAACACAAGTTGAACGAACGAAACTGGCGGCTTCGTTGGTCCGGTTGCTCAAAAGCAGGACTATGTGATAGGGTTAGAACTTACCGCTGGACTACCTTGGAGGTTAAATGGTTAAAATAAAAATGCACAAGATGGTGCTAAAATTGGTTTATTTTTATTTTTATTGAAGTCTTTGTAATTGGCTATAGAAAGGGGGGGGGTCTTTCTTTAAGTTTATGTTCCTTGCAAATTTATAACTCTTCAATATATGCATCGTTTATACCGACGAATTTTATGATGTGATGTAAAAAACTCTCTAACCTACTGTGTATATTAATTCATGGTGTTTAATCTTACTTAAATTATGCAATATTTAAAAGATATATATACTATACAATTAACATTGTGACTATTACAATCAAAACATAAATGTCGGATATGATAAGGACTTTTATCATTGAGTATACTACATGTTAGAATTATTCAAGAGAGTTGTTTTGTATATTATTCCTTTTTAAAATGTAAAATGTGTGTACAATTTTTACGCATTGTTGTGTACTTGTTTTTACTCAATTCAAATACGAGTCGTAAAAAATCTAGCATAAAAAAGGGGTGTATAACATGTCTTCTCAGCTTTTTGGTTTTTGTTTTACAATTTGAAGAGTTTGCAATCCTTTTCATTCATCAGTATAAAAGCAACATTAATTCAAGTTGCATAGGTTTTTTGTAGCTGAAATGTTTAGACACGAAATACTTCCATGTAATTCATTCAACAGTAATTACACAGGAATACATGTATGTACTTATTCGACATCTGATTAATAGAAGGTACTAACATATATATATTTCATAAATTGACTCCATGCGTATTAATGTATGCATTGAATTTTTGAACTACATTATGTACTTTATTTCTTTACATGTACATGTATGTATATATGTACTCCCAAATATACATATATATTCTCAACGGATGTATCTAGTGTTCCCTAAATTCAACTTGCAAGTAACCTAATATATACTCATAGGAGTGAGGAAAAGAACAAAACTTTAACAACCCACTATGAAAACAGCACAATATGATTTTCTGATTTTCTGATTTTTTTATATATTTGATAATTATAGTTTACTAATTGCTCCTATGATATTGGTATCATGATATTCCTTATGTGTTTGAGTAATTTATCATTCATGTCCATTTCACGAAGAGCATCCATCCACATCATGAACGAATGTTGAAGTGCTTGATAGATGAATGAGAGATGCGAAATTTGTCATCCTCATGCGCACCTCAGGGAGGTAGGGATGAATGATCTAAGTGGATGAAGATGACAACTTTACAACGGACGATGTTCGTTCATTGGGCTGATTAGGGTTTGGAGCCCACTCCATGAAGGCTGCGGGAGCTCAAGCTTGAAGGTCTTTAGGATTTCGACGCTTCTGTTGTCGGGTCGTGCCGATTAGCTGCACCAGAGTAGTTGTGGGGGGTTTTTATTTTCTTTCTAAAAGGATTTACTTGTAATTTGACGACGTGAGTCGCTATGGCGCCCAAGCCGGTTCGAGCGAGTCGCAAAACAGAGCTTGTGCGGGGCATCGGCCGCAACGGCAGATCCAAGACCTACCACAAGCGTGGTCTGTGGGCCATCAAGGCCAAGAACGGTGGCAAGTTTCCCATTCATGAGAAGAAGGCGGTTGCTGAAACTCCCGCTGTTCGTGCTCCCAAGTTCTACCCCGCTGACGATGTAGCCAAGCCCCTGCACAAGAACAAGGTCATCAACCCTCCCAAGTTGAGGTAAGTCCTGTAAGGTTTTGGGTTTTCATTTTGTTCGTGCTGTTAGTTATTTTCTGTCAGTGTTAAGGTTTGGAGGACCGCAGTCTAAGAATTTGGTTAAACGCCGACCCTCAGGGCTTTTCATTGGGGTTTTGGGTTCTGGAAGGAAGTCAGTGTCTTTTTTCGGATATGCGATCACATTATAGTTATATTTATTGATTCCAGATTTCCACGAGGGTTTGAGTTGGTGTATCATTAAGTTGAGTTAGTGTATCACTGAGGGGAGTTCAGTTTCATGTCATTCACTCGGATGTAGCTAAGACCGAGCTGAATGAGGATGGGGATGCTTGTCTCAGTAATCAGGGTGGGGAGTCAAGTTCTCTTACCTGCAGATTGAAAACAAGATGCATAGCAGTGTTCTTCTTTTACTACGGGCGATGAGAGTACATAAGGTGACTTTTTTCCACATTGTGTACGTTAATTTGAGATTCATTTCTTGTTTGGATGTGCAGGTCAAGCATCACTCCAGGGACCGTTCTGATTTTGTTGGCTGGCCAATTCAAGGGCAAGAGAGTTGTGTTCTTGAAGCAGTTGGAATCCGGGCTCCTATTGGTTACGGGTGTGTAATTCTATTCATTCAGCGTTAACATTCTGGTTGTATCCTTGGTTTCAGGCCATTAAGTGATGGTGACGCACCCCTTTCTCATCCATGAAAAAACTAAATCGCAGCACAACGGAAGAAGAGTAGTGGACACGAGCAACCTCTATTGTGTTCCGATTCATTTCAACCAATCCTAGAATCGAGTTTTAAGGTCATTTATCGTAAATATTTTTTGCGGTATGATAAATTGTTTTGTGTTATTCAGGACCATTTAAGGTGAACGGTGTCCCGTTGAGAAGAGTGAACCAGGCCTACGTTATTGCCACCTCAACTAAGTTGGATGTGTCATCTGTTGATGTTACCAAGTTTTCCGACGCTTACTTCAAAAGGGAAGTCACCAAGAAGAAGAAGGGAGAGACTGAATTTTTTGAAGCTGAAAAAGAGGTGCGTACCCATCTGCTTGTCTAATCTCGATTGTTAAAACCTTTGATTTGAGTGGCTTAATTTGGTGTTGCGGTTGAAGATGAATGTATGTGCAGCTGTTTATTGTGTATTATGTTGAATATTAAATCCATATGTTGATCTATTTGAATGTAGAATGAAGGAAACACCTTACCAGAGGAAAAGAAGGAGGATCAGAAGGCAATTGATGCCAAGCTCATCCCTATTATTGAAGCAGTCCCAGAATTGAAAGCTTACTTAGCTGCCAGGTTTAGCTTGAAGTCTGGTGTCAAGCCACATGAGCTTGTGTTTTAAGAAACCACAATTCTCGGTTTAGTGCAGCGACAAATGGCTGATGTCTCATAATCCATATAAGTTTGTTATATTACCACTCCTGTGTGGTTTGATGTCTACCAATTGTAGTCAACCGTCTGTGGATCGCAGTGACTTTCCGTCTGGGTGAATGGTGATTGCGTTCGATCTGATCTATGTATGACCATGATTCATCGGGAGTAGTTGAAAATCTGCAGTAGTTCCCTGATATCTTTTTCATCCAGAACCAGACATTAAGGGTTTAAGGTTTTACCGGGACATAAGTATAGCTGGCCTTTCAGGCACCTATCAACACAAATGACAGTACTGTTGCAGAATATAACACTCATGAATAAGATATGCACACAGATTAACCGACTAAGCAAATGAAGGCGAAGAGCTAGTGTAATGATACCGGTGCACCTCATTGAACGTCCGAATTTTATGCTCCAATGTATCAGATGTGTGCGAAGGTATGTACCATGGATTTTCTAAATGTGTAGCTCTATCGATAACCGTGGTTCCGCACTGGAAACGGTGAGTGTGATTGTGTCGATAGGTGCAGTGAATGCCGTTTATTAGAGGCATAATTATTAGCATGCGTGAATATTACCTGCAAACAAGAAGACACAACTAACTTGATAAATCTTTTCAGGCCTTCAAAGTAATGGAGCAAATAGTACAAGACCAAACCATTTCAGCACATGCAACTCAAAACTGACAAATTGTAAGGAAGAAAAATAAACAATATTACATGAAACGAACGATATACCTATGTTTGTATCAATCGACATATCATACCTTAATTTATTATTAGTTGAATTGTTATTCAGAATTTGTATCATGTTTACTACGCTATCATAGTGAGTCCTGCTATTTGACAGTTGATTCCCTTTGTGGCCACGGGGGGTTCTTTTTGCTACATTTCAAGAGATTGGGAGCTTCTGGGGATTAATCTTCAAATGTAGTTAACCCATGCAAGAATTTGCTAATTTGACTCCTATGTGCATGTAGGAAACTGTGTAGGATTCCAACAGGAGTGGGAGCTTTGAAACTGTGAGGTATTTATCAGTAAATAATTTCAGTAATAAGAACTCTTCCTCTCAAAGCGTGAGTGAAACATGCAGTATGACAAATTGAAATCAAGGGTTATATATATACATATATATATTAAATTTAATTTAAATAAAAACAAATAATTTTTTAACAAAAATATACTCTTTTTAAATTGTCATTTTTTATTCAAATTGACAGATCTAACAAACTCAATAAAATGTATAGATTTTATTTTAATTTATTTTTTATTGGAATTGGAAAAAACAAATAAATATGTCAAATGAAAGGCAGATTGTGGTGGTAAGAACAAAAATTATGGTGGCATTAACAATATCCTAAATATACATTCACTACATAGTGAAAATATGTGTCCTTGTTGTTTCATCTTTCCTAGTGATGCCCTAAAATGGTGTTAGTAATGAGAAAGTGATGCTTTCATGTTGGATTCCACACTATCAAAATTATTAACTTCCGCAAGTGATAAAAAAAAAATCAATTCAACAGTATTTGGAAACTTTCACTTAGTCATGCAGAATTTTACATAACAACTTTGAAACATTCATATCAATGCTTAAGTTTCTTTTTCTTTTTGAATTTCAAGTTTATTCTTGTTGTTGTTATTGTAAATATTATTACTAGCAAAGATATTTATACGACATTAGATTTGATGTGCTCAATATTTTTCAATATAGATATGCATTTGAAATACAAAAATCTGGCTTTAATTATAATTCACGTATATAAAATGTATAAAAGTGACATTAGGCTATATCCAACTGTTATACTTTAATGAAAAAATGAAACTATCAGCTAAAAACATATTTCAACATTTATTCTTGTTCAAACACTTCCTTTTCATTCCAAAAATTAAGATTTAAAGCAAATATTGTAAATATGTATGACCAATCATAGGTATCCATTTCATCAAGTATTAAAATAAAATAAAAAAATAAAAAAATAAAAAATGTTACTTCTGAACTTGAGGTCATCAAGTTTTTAAAGACATTATACATGTGATTGTGTGTGTGTCTATATATTATTACGATTATTATTATTATTATTATAAATCATCACTTTTATGACAAACATATTTTCTAAAAACATTCTTCTTTTGTGGGTTTATCTTTAAATTGCACTGCAGTCAAAAATCAAAAGGAAAAATAATTGTGCATATTTTATCATTTATTCACTTTAATTATTCATCCTTTTTGTTTTGTTACATTTTTGGAATAAAGTTTGGAATAGTGTGCTTCTATTCTAAAAATGCAAAACAAACCTTTATTCACAAACCTTGCCATCCCTCCCCCACGTGCTTTTATGAAATCGTATTTTCTTTTTCTCTCTCTCTCTCTCTCTCTCTTTGTCTCTTTCTTTATCCAGTTTTCTTTTTTCTATCTCGTCCAGCTGATCTTCAACTTCTATTTGATATTTCGAGGCATGGTTACATATTTTCCAACCTCCATTCACATATTGTTGCTCTTTTGAGGAAGTAAATTAATCAAGCCCCAATAAGTTTCCCTTTTAAAATACATTCTAATGTGCTTTAAAATACATACATACATATATATATATATATATATATATGGCACGCATTGATTATATGCTGTACATGTTTTTGTTCAAAATCATAAAGGTGGCTTTCTACCAGTTTCAATATGAAAAACTGAGAAGTTTAACATTGGGTCTTCTTTCTTTTTAAATTTACAAATTTGCAAACGTTAATGGTGTCACTCGTCATCCTTTGATTTTTGTAGAACCTTGCTACCAGCACAATAATGAACAATATCCTCTCACATGCACAAAGAGACCATCATTCTTTTCAAAAAAAAAAAAAAACAAACAAACAAAGCACATCAGCCACATGTTAAAATTGGTTCTGGGACATCAAAAATTAGGAAACTGTGTCCATTCCAGAGGCTTCCATTTCCAAAACAGTAGGCTCTTAAGATAACTCGTTTGTGGGGCAACAATTAGATGCCATATTTGTGCATAATAATGGTGGGGGAAAATGGATGACTTACAATGGCAGCAACTGGGAATAGAGTAGAAGTGCAATAAACAAGGGGCTGTAGCTTTTTATTTGCTGATGCACGAAATGGACCTCGATTTTGAGGGACATTTTTGTAGCTGATGTGGAATATTCTATTCCAGCTCAGCAATTTCCAATTGCTGTGGTCCTAATGGGAAGTGTCCAACGTGGCATGTTTCTCGTTTTTTTATTTGAATGATTATTTTTTTTGTAACAAAACCGGAAAAAAAAAACATCATTCAATGTGTGGGACTGGGACTGAAACAACTTTCATGCTGACTTGTAGATACTCATGTTGTTTTGAAACATGTTTTTCACACTAGTATGAACCTTAATTAAGGTTCTGAGTCTTGATAGTTTTCTTTGTGACAATAAAACAAGGCTCTGCTTTTTTGCAAATATCTGTTTCTTTGATGTGATCAACCATTCATTTTGTTATGCAAAGTATTAGTTGTTAATTGTACCTTCAAAGATCACTTCTGAAATTGCACACATGAGTAGTTAATGTCACTTTCAAAACATTTTGTAAAATTAACTACAACAACACATGTTGGGTTTTTGGTTATGAGGTGAAAAAAGAGAAGAAAAAAAAATGTTGTAAAATGACTCATCTATTCAGAATCAAATGGCACTTGTTGGGAATCCCAACATAACAACAACCCCATTCTATTTACAGGATACTCAATGCTACTATGTGCCATTCAGTGACAGTTTAAGCTCAACCTTAAAAAAAACTGAAATATTTCTCATTGTCTATTCAATAAAACTAGAAAATTGTGGTATAAAATAACATTTATCTTCATAAGTGGAACACTTGTTAATGCCATTACTATTATTATTATCACTGGAGCTGCTGCAACAATTCATTAATAAAGAAATCAAACCACAGAGTTCTGTTTGCAATTCCTCGATTCCCTAGACACTTTCCAGATATGCATCTGGTGTAATAGAATCAACAGTAGAAGAAAAAATAGTACTTAAATATATTACATGGTGTGCTTTTTAAAGAAAAATGCCATGCCCAACATAGCACAAATCATACCTGATCCTAATACACAAAATTGGTAATTGCAGAGTGGGAGCCGCACTGTACAAGAAAACTGTCACATCATTTGTTTCTCCCTCTTTCTCCATGTGGGTTCACCAGCACTCACGAGAACCCTAACCCTAACCCTAAAACTTGGTTCAAGTCATACCTTGCTGTGGAACACATGGTTCAGCAGAGGGGGACAAAAAGAGCTCATTCAAGGTACACTTGTGTGTTTTATTTTTTATTTTATTTTATTTTATTTATTGATAAACTTGATAGATGCCATCCCAACTTGCTATGTGTGAACAGGTCCTTCTGGTTGCATTATTTAGGGTGAGGACCGAGAATGGGGATTAGGGAGCCATGGCTTTGCTGTAGTGTCATAATCCCTTTTCTTAAGGGGGCTCAGCCAAGCTGGCAACTTTTGTCCAAAGATGATAAAAAGCGCCCTTGGAAACCGGGTTTGTCATGGTTTATGGCTTAGAATGCCCACAATCCCAGTTTTAGGGCATGACAACGTCTGTGTTGTTTTTTTTTAATATTACTTTAGGGTTTTGAGATTATGTTGTTGGATTGAAGCTCATGCCTTACAAAAATTGGATATATAAACTCCAAAATGCCCAAGCATTGCTCAAGTTGTGGAGACCAGGTGTTGGCATTTTTGGCAATGGTTGTCTCAACTTGGGGGCATGTTTTGCATGCAAAAAGTCTTTGTCTATGGGAAGGACAAAGCCATAGCTTCATCCACCATAAATGAGGTTTTTTGAATGGAAATAGTCGATTTTGATATCAAGATTTTAAAATGTTATATATGGTGCAATATATTAGGTGGTGTGATTTAGACATTGTGAACTACAACTATTTATGTACACAAACACTTAGAAACAAAGTTGCATACATGCTATAGTTTTAGTATGTACACTTTTTGTATTTTGTTATTGATTATTGATCTTTGCTCTATTCATTAATGTTTGTAACTACCTCACTAGATACCATCTTCTGTTGTGCCATCAAAAATGGTTGTTACACCTTTAGATTTGTCAAGAAATCAAGGTAGAATTAAATGAATATGTTTGGAGATTTTCTATCTCCAAATCAAAGACATAGTCACAAAGATTGAATCACAAGAGTAAGGTGGGTCCACTTAATATCCCTCTAACCTAAAGTTGTACAAAATGAAGTTGATATTATATCTACTTTTGTCACAACCCTTTTATTTATTTTTATAGTGTGTATATAAGAAAGTTTAAAAAATAAATTTTGTCAATATTTTCACATGAACATCATAATCTCCATACAAACTTTAAATGTGAATCAATTTTATAAAATTATTAATATATAATTATTATGAAATTTTAGCAGAAAAAAAAGAGAACAATAACACATGTTTATATATATATATATATATATATATATATATAAACATAAATTTGATATTTTCCAGATTATGTATTTTTTAACATAAGCTGTGAGTGATAGATATAACCCTCTATTGAATAAAATATTTAATCAATGCAAAGTCTGAAATAGGTATGACTAAATTATTGCAGTAGGAATTTTACAACAATTGTTTTTTCTTGGTCAACCTCAAAAAATATTCTATGCAAGAAGTGAACAATTCTTAGTGTTTGTCATACTTAGAAAATGATAAGATGCTTTTCTTCAAAGTGCAATCTTTGTGATTGAAGACTAGGGCATATATATAGTGTTTTCAAATAGTCAATATGTTGGAAAGAGCAGTTTATAAGGTTTTGGACATTAAATTTATTTATTTAATCTCTTGTCCTCGACTTCATTTATATCAATATTTACAATAAACCTTGTAAACTCTAAAAATGTAACGATATATCTTTTATTGAACTATAAAAACAATCAAGTTTTAATTTTGTTTGATACCAGGGGTTTCACAACCACAAAACAATCGACCAGTCAACATATGATTAGTTTTGTTTTGTTTTTGTTTTTGTTTTGTTTTTGTTTTTGTTTTGTTTTTTTTTTTTTTTTTTTGTACTTAATAATAAACCCATAAATTTGATTTCAATTGTCAAAACAGGAGGATTATTTTATACAACATTTTATTTTTTATGAGAATGCTTCACAAGAAATAAATGTATTATGAACATAAAAAAACAGAGAATCATGTTGTCATGAATTTCTTAGAATTAATAAATATATCATTGTACTTCAAGCATGCATATAATTGGAAATTGACCAACAAGTATCATTTTCCACAAGGTATTCAAAGCATTTAGTGAAACTTCTGAAAGGGCTTGACAGGATATGCTATAGTAAAAATTATGTCCAAAAACATGCATCCATTAATTCTCAAAGATATGGAAGCAGTGTGATGTGTATTTCACCAAACTATGGTCTGTAAGTAGCATTAGTTCACAACGAAAAATACTTCTCCTTGTTTTGCATTTTTTATTGACTAATGTGCAGTTGAAATTATTAGTCAATACAAAAATATACAGAATCATACATGACTAGAAGTAAGACATGTCAAAAAAGTGCATCCAATGGCATAATACTTGCTACAATTCGAACAACATTATTTAGATCTTACAACCTAACTTTGTTGTTGATCAAAGTGTTTTTAACTGGATGGTTTTAATATGTAGATTCATATAGACATACACATCAAATGCTGAATTTTAAATACTGAAGCTTAGTAAAGAGATAATAACAATTTAAAAAAAAAAGAAAAAGAAAAAAGAAAACAGTTACTAAGTGATGGTAAACAGTATTATTATTATTATTATTTTTGCTTCATTTCAAGAAAAATAAATAGATATTGTGAATGAAAACAGGATGGGATGAAAAGAATGTAGAGGACAAAATATCCCATATGCTTCGTTATTATTATCAATCATTTATTCACTAATAATCCAGATGAGAGTAACACAAATATATTGACAATGGCATTTACATGTTATGAAGGTTAAATTGTTTCATCCTCGTATACAAAAGGTTGTATACACACACACACACACACACACATATATATATATATATATATACATACATATATATATGTTTCTAATTGCCAATTATATTGCATGTTGCCAACCTTTTTGATAAAATCTCTCAAGCATTACTATTAAACATATTATTACAAAAGTTGATGGAAAGCATATGTTACATGTGTTTCATAACAAACTACACCAACAACCTCTTCTCTAGGGGGCTGTAGAGTGGGAGGAATGGATGGTAAAATAAGAAGATGGAACACTTGATTTGAATGAACCCAATCTTAGTGAACTTAAAAGAATGTGATTTACTATGGCTAGCAACAGAAGCAAAAATAAAATAAAATAAATGCTTACCTTGGTTCAAATAAACTTTTTGACATTCAAATTCTTCCAAAAAGGATGACAACTTCACCATCCCTGTTGCAAGATGTTATATTATCAACAAAGAAAACACACATGGTATACTCTCTCATCAATTCCCTTTATCCTTCAAATACAATCTTCCCTATCAACCTTCATATCATTGCATTGTATTCTTACTGATTAAATCAATAAAAATAAAAATGAAAACTTTGTCTTCCCTTCTCTTCTTTTTTCATGTTATTCTTCACTCTTTTATTTGTTTGTTTGTTTATTATATATGTATATATAGAAATGGGTCCTAGTTGGACATGGGCTGGAGTTGCTCAGGCACTGCCACCCTGGTGCTGACCCAGCATACAAATACCCACAATGGATACACACATCCACATTGTCATGCTCACTCACTCCTGCAGGACTAGACAGTGCAAACCGGACAAAAATCCTTGTGAAATATTCATAACAATAACAAAGCAAAATTAAAAACCCAGTAGAAATAAACATAAACATATAAGTGAAAAAATAAACACTAAAACTAAAATAAATGAACAAACACATACGCACCCACATATATACATATACGCAGACGGGCAGACGGTCAGACATGGAGGCGGAGGTGCAGTAAAATTTTCTCAGCATTGAATTGAATAGGTTAACTATCATTTTTGTTTTTGTTTATTCATGTCGCTTTATTCACCCTATTATTTATTTCAGGTGGTGCCCATGAACGCTGACATGCACACACACACCCCCTTACCCTGGATGACTTTTGTATCCTCTCTGCAGGCAATTTGAGGAGGAGGAAATTAACGTAATAAAAGTAGTAAGTAGTAATAATAAAGAGAGAATAAAATATCAGTTCTTAAAAACTCATTTATGACTGCCACGCTTCAGAATTTTCCCTTTGCCCCTCCTTTACAACACTCACAAACTAATACCCACAACCTCATTCATACGGGGGAGGATTCTTGTTTTATTTAATTTTATTTAAAAAAATGAGTTATTTGATGCATGGGAAATGGATCCTGAAACGAAACCCTACAATGGGGTCGCGTTTCTGGCTGTGCGGGGTGCAGCTATCGAAGAGGGGCAACTGGTTGGCTCGCAACAGCAGCATCAAATTTCACCATGACCCACTGTTGATTGTGCCTCGGCGAGGAATGGGTGCCGACGAATTCACGCAATTAAGACTCCGGGGTTTTATGCAGAAGCGTGGAAGCATGATCCATGTGGCAGCAGCAAGGCGGCACACGCGCTGGCCCAATTCCTGCAGCGCAATCACAACAACAACTACAACAACAGCATCAGCATTTAACGGATAACTAAAGAAACGGCATCAGGTTCTCTTCTCGCAACGGTGGATCCGAGTGGAATATAGCAAAGTCACGCCTCACCAACGGCAGGCTACACATGAGCATGCGCTAAGTCGCAGCTTACGTGGTCCTTCCGTTCCCCTCGCAAAGGTGGCTTTTGTGCGGTAGATTCAGTAAAGTGAATTAAGTACGGAATAAACAGGATAGAGAAAAAGAAAACCCACACATATTTATCCGTAAATTCGGGCACCGGCTTCGGCGACCTACATGGAAAAGACCGCACGGTAAAACATCGTCGCAGATGCTGATACTGGGATCCCACTAATCCTCCCCAATCAGGATCATACAAAACTTTCGGGCCAGATGCTCTCATGGTCCTCCACCTCCACGAATAGGGGCACATTAAAATTAACACTTTAACTGAGATTGTGTTCTGCGTTGTCTTATCGACTGCCTCGAAGTTCTGAGTTGAAGGGTGTGGTTTCCGAAGCGCATCACTGCTCACTCCTATTTTTATTTTTCCACACTGGACTTTCGCAAGTTTTTGTCAATGGGTTTGGTTAGAGTTAAAGATAATTTTATTCAAGTAAGATGCGGGTCGAAAAATAATTTCATAATTTCATATAATTTTTTTTGACTACCAGTGCCTCTGATTCATCAACACGCAGCAGAAACAATCGGAAGCAGCGACTCAGGCTGCCAACACAGATGCTGCCGTGCAGCCATGAACAGGAAAAACCGGCAACAACAGGCAACAACAATACAATATTCATAATAAAATCAAAATAAGAAAAAAGAAGGAAAACAAAAACAGAAAAACAAGAGAGGAAATGAAATGTCATGATTGGAAAGAGAGTGGAGGGGAGAGTATCCTCATAACCTGGAATGCATGCTCTCGAGAGCGACAGGGACCTGAAGGCAACAAAAGCGAGCACAAGGGGAGGGGGTGAGAGTTTCGGCGAAGGGGATTGTTAGCGACGGAGAGGGTCAACAGCCCACCAGAAGTTACAATCACGGTAGAAGAAGAAGAGCAACAGAAGACGACGAAGACGAAGACGAAGACGGGGATGAAGAAGAAGAAGACGAAGGAAGGAGGGGAAGGAAGGGGATGGGATCCAGCTGGAGTAGGGGAGCAGACAGATATAGTAGGTGAGGAATGGGAGTGCGGGGAAGACGACGACGACGTCGACGACGTGTGTGTACGATGCGCTGCACGGGGACGACGACGACGAGAAACAGGCTTTGGGCTTTGGCGCCACTTGACAGTAAACTGCCGGGGTCGATGTGTCTGTACTGCCCTCCCTGCCTGCACTGCCTGACACCATCTCTGTGCTGCCTCGCAGTCGACGATCTGCCCACGAAATTCGAAGACCTGGGTAGACGACGACGCTGCCAGAGCTGGGTCCAGCCAGGCACAGGCAAGGCAAGAGAGCAAGAGAGCGAGGCAAGGCCAAACAGCCAGCCCCTACCCTCTCCCCCCTTTCCCACTCCTTTGAGGCACAATGCCACTGCTTCTCTGACGCCTCGCCACCTTTGGTAGCAGCAGCACAGGGTACCAGAAACCCGACTCTTTCAGGTTTTCCTCACGCTGTTTGTTGCATCAGCAGCCGCGGGAACTTGGCATCAGAATAGAAGAATAACCCCTGCGTGGGTAACTTGATGAGCACTCAGTGAATAGCCTCTGGTGTGTGTGAGTGTGTGTGCTTGCTGTCCTGTTTCCGATGAGATCGATCAGTCCCCCTCTCCCGATGCCGCGTCTCTGCATGGTGTAGCCTGACAGCGTTTGTACAGCTCGGAAGGGGTTGTAGAGTCGACAGCGTTCGAGAGAGAGTCTCAGTTGATAGAGGCTGAGGTCGAGCTGTTGTCAGTGTGAAGGAACCGAGATAGAGCTTCGGATTGTATGGTTTTGCTCTTTGAGTAGTGCAGACGACGGACTGTCGTGTGTCTGGTGGAGGGTAGTTTTTATTTCACTGTAGGGCTCGAGTTTTTTGATGAGTGGTGAGTGCGAGAAGAGTGGCAGAGGTCGTGAAGGGGTTCCGGGGTGTAGGTTTGAAGCTCAAGCCTTTCGAGGGATCGGTTGGTGTTTCCTTCGTAGCGAGCTTGGATGTTGTGAGTGAGTTCGTGTGTGGGGAAGAGTATGTGTGAGTGTGAGTGTGAGTGTGTGTGTGGTGTTCTGAGGAGACGGTAGTGGAGGAGACGACGACGAGGAAGAGGAGGAGGAGGAGGACGAGGGGCGGCGAGTTTTCGAAGGCGTGCATGGCGACAGAGTGGCAGCACTGCTGCCGCAAGTCAAACCTCTGTTGACCGAGGTGTTAGGGAAGTGGCAGGAGTAGGGCGAGAAACTTGAAGGTTGTTGTTGCAGCGCCGGTGAGCGATGGAGGCTAATGCAGGCCTTATTGCAGGCTCACACAATCGTAACGAGCTGGTCGTTCTTCGACCCGATCACGAAGGGGTAGGACTCCTACTTCCATCACCATCGGTGCTAAATTTAGACTTCGGTGGCTGATCCCACACCTCGCGGACTGCTGCCTGTAGATTGCGATCGAGCCATCTAGAGACTTGCGTATTCTCTCCCCCTTGTATGCGTCTCTGCAGCCTCTGCATCTGTGCTATCACGCCCGGGCTCTGTGAATGTTGTGCGAGTTACCATGTGTATGTATGCGTCGGTGCAATGTGATCCTTAGTGTATATTGTTCACTGGTCTCTAAAACGCTGTCAACCACTCTGACCATTAGCACGTGAGTGATCGCTATGTGAGAAGTGCTTCGGTTGCTCCTCTGCGAAGAGCTTAACTAAAAGCCTATTTGAGCGCTTCGACTTATGAGACATTAGGGACGAGTCGTGGAACATGCGTAAGCGTGTTACGTTTGGGGAAGAAGGTCATGGGCCCTTGTCTTAGGCCAGCTTGTGAACTCCAGTGTCACTTCTCTGCATAGGCTCCTCCCACCGTTCGCCTTGGTTGACTGAAAACTAAGAACTTGCCTTTTGGCTTTTTCGGTTTTTACTTATAGCTTCTGTGTTGTGTTGCGTTGTGTTGTGTTTCGTTTGATGTGTGTAGCCGAAGCCTCTGAGTCAGGTGAATAGTCAATTTTGCCAAATCTGTGGTGACGATGTGGGAGTCACGGTTGACGGGGAGCTCTTTGTTGCTTGCTTCGAGTGTGGATTCCCCGTGTGTCGACCGTGTTTCGAGTATGAACGCAAGGAAGGGAATCAGTCATGTCCTCAATGCAAATCCCGCTACAATCGTCAAAAAGGTAACTCTCTTTCTCGACCTCCCTTCCAAAAGTAATTACGATTGTGTTCACGGGAAGCAGTGTTGTGTTCCGCTTTCGAAAAGGGCTACTTGGAGTTTCTTGTCTGTTTTCCAAAAAACTCATCAATTTTGGATGCAGGGAGTCCTCGTGTGCCTGGCGACGAAGAGGAAGACGACACCGATGACTTGGAGAACGAGTTCGCCCTCGAAATGGGCCAGCTCGACGAGCAGAATGTCACGGACGCTATGCTTCACGGGCACATGAGCTATGGTGGCAATTACGACCACAATCTTCCTAATTTACATCAGACGCCGCAGTTCCCCTTACTTACTGATGGCAAAATGGTACACTGTCGACCCTCAGATTCCTCTCATCCTTCAGGGAAACATGGACATGTGTGTTGCAGGCTCTTGCAAAAACTACATGTACTGCAAAAGTATATGTCACTGTTTCTGCGGTGTAACATTCGATTACGTTATAATTACGCAGACTGTTGATGTCACTGTTTCAGGGGGATTTGGACGATGACTCTCACGCAATTGTGTTGCCGCCCCCCATGAATGGTGGCAAGCGTGTCCACCCGCTCCCCTACATAGAATCGAATCTCCCTGTGCAAGCGCGCCCCATGGATCCTACCAAGGATTTGGCCGCTTATGGGTACGGCAGCGTCGCTTGGAAAGATAGAGTCGAAAGCTGGAAGATGCGGCAAGAGAAGATGATGACTGAAGGCAGTCATCACCACAAAGGTGGCGACATGGATGGTGATAATGGCCCTGACCTCCCGATGTACGCCTTCACTCCTAACATCAATTTTCATATACATGTCTCGTCATTATTAGCAGCAGATTGTTCGTCGCTTGAAACTGGACCTTGATTGATTTTGTGCGATTTTTCTGTGTGCATCGTTGAGCAGCATGGATGAAGCACGACAGCCCCTCTCACGGAAGGTGCCCATTTCGTCTGCGAGAATCAACCCCTACCGCATGCTTATCGTAATCCGTCTCGTTGTGCTCGCCTTCTTCTTCCGCTACCGGATTCTCAACCCCGTGGAGGGCGCTTACGGCATGTGGCTTACATCCGTCATTTGTGAGATTTGGTTCGCTATCTCATGGATTTTGGATCAGTTCCCGAAGTGGTTACCTATCAACCGCGAGACATACTTGGACAGGCTCTCCTTACGATATGAGAAAGAGGGAGAACCGTCACAGCTAGAGCACGTTGATATCTTCGTCAGTACCGTGGATCCCATGAAGGAGCCGCCACTCGTGACGGCAAACACGATCCTGTCCATTTTGGCTGTGGACTACCCGGTGGATAAAGTGTCCTGCTACCTCTCAGACGATGGAGCTGCCATGCTAACATTTGAGTGCATCTCCGAGACTTCTGAATTTGCTCGTAAATGGGTGCCGTTCTGTAAGAAGTTCAGCATTGAGCCGCGCGCTCCTGAGATGTACTTCGCTCAGAAGATCGACTACTTGAAGGACAAGGTGCAACCCACATTTGTGAAGGAGCGCCGTGCTATGAAGCGAGAGTATGAAGAGTTCAAGGTGCGGGTGAATGCGTTGGTGGCGAAGGCGCAGAAAGTTCCGGAAGAGGGATGGACAATGCAGGATGGCACGCCATGGCCAGGGAACAACAGCAGAGATCATCCGGGAATGATTCAGGTGTTTTTGGGCCACAGCGGCGGTCATGACACTGATGGCAACGAGCTCCCCAGGCTAGTGTACGTCTCGAGAGAGAAGCGTCCTGGATTCAACCACCACAAGAAGGCCGGTGCTATGAACGCCCTGGTGAGAGTGTCGGCCGTCCTCACGAACGCTCCCTACTTCCTGAATCTCGATTGTGACCACTACATCAACAACAGCAAGGCGCTGCGAGAGGCCATGTGTTTCTTCATGGACCCCAGCGTGGGGAAAAAAGTTTGCTACGTGCAGTTCCCGCAGCGGTTCGACGGCATAGACCGCAACGATCGTTACGCCAACCACAACACTGTGTTCTTCGACATCAATTTGAAGGGCCTGGACGGAATTCAAGGACCTGTATATGTAGGCACGGGAACTGTGTTCAACAGGAAGGCGCTCTATGGATACGAGCCCGTGTTGAAGGAGAAGGAGAGCAAGGGCACGGGCTGTGGCGCGGCCTGTTCGACCTTGTGTTGTGGCAAACGCAAAAAAGACAAGAAGAAAAACAAGAAGTCGAAGTTTTCCCGGAAGAAAACCGCGCCCACACGCTCTGACTCCAATATCCCTATCTTCAGCTTGGAGGAGATCGAAGAAGGTGATGAGGAGAAGTCCTCGCTCGTGAACACGATCAACTACGAGAAACGGTTTGGCCAGTCGCCGGTGTTTGTTGCCTCCACGCTTCTGGAACACGGCGGCGTGCATCACTCTGCCAGCCCGGGATCTCTTCTCAAGGAGGCAATTCACGTCATCAGTTGCGGCTACGAGGACAAGACTGATTGGGGCAAAGAGGTATATCACACCGTGGAGGATATGGCGAAAAGAAAAGAAAAATGCATTATGGGAGCTGTTGCTCTTCTTTTATGTAGGAGTTGGCTAACAATTTGTGTTTGCGGGATGTTCTGTACAGATTGGGTGGATCTACGGGTCTGTCACCGAGGATATTCTGACGGGATTTAAGATGCATTGCCGTGGATGGCGCTCAATCTACTGTATGCCAACTCGGCCTGCGTTTAAGGGCTCAGCTCCCATCAATCTGTCCGACCGCTTGAATCAAGTCCTCCGGTGGGCTTTGGGTTCCGTAGAAATTTCTCTCAGCAGGCATTGTCCGTTGTGGTACGGTTATGGCGGACGGTTGAAGTGCCTGGAGAGACTGGCGTACATCAACACCACAATCTATCCGTTGACGTCTTTGCCTCTTGTTGCGTACTGCGTGCTTCCGGCTGTGTGCTTGCTCACCGGGAATTTCATCATTCCTACTGTAAGCACGAATCCAATGCCCTTAAGGAAGTTGAATTCGTCGTTGTACAATTCCTTTGAACAACTCCGTGGACTTGGTTGTGCACTTTCTTACCATCGGTGTGCTCCTTTTTTCTTCGTGTGCAGATTAGCAACCTGGATAGTTTGTACTTCATCTCCCTCTTTCTCTCGATTTTCGTGACCGGCATACTTGAAATGCGGTGGTCTGGAGTCGGAATCGACGAATGGTGGAGGAACGAGCAGTTCTGGGTGATCGGAGGAGTCTCCGCGCATCTCTTCGCCCTCTTCCAAGGCCTGCTGAAGGTATTCGCCGGAGTGGACACGAATTTCACCGTCACTTCCAAACAAGCAGACGACGAAGATTTCGGGGAGCTGTACATGCTGAAGTGGACGTCGCTTCTGATCCCCCCGACCACGATCCTGATCCTCAACCTCGTGGGCGTCGTGGCCGGCATCTCCGATGCAATAAACAACGGCTACCAGTCCTGGGGTCCGTTGTTCGGGAAGCTGTTCTTCGCCTTCTGGGTGATCGTGCACTTGTACCCGTTTTTGAAAGGTCTGATGGGTCGGCAGAACCGAACGCCTACCATTGTGATCGTGTGGTCCATTCTGCTCGCCTCCATCTTCTCTCTCCTGTGGGTGCGGATCAACCCGTTTTTGTCTCGGTCCAATGGACCCAACCTGGTCGAGTGCGGGCTTAGCTGTTAGATCCATTGTCCTTACACAGAATTCAACCTAGATTAGGAGCAGCAGCAGCAGGTCCATTGGCGGAAGGGTATCTATGGATTGGAATTCTTTTCCATTACCGCCAAGCCCCTTTGTAAAGATTTTACGCAGGCAGGCAGGTTAGGCAGGCGGGCAGGGTGGCGGCGGCAGTGTTCCCGTTTCTCAAAGTGTTGTGCGAAGTGCATGATGCGGCGATGTTGCGAGTACACGCACATATGTAGAGAGAATAACCAGCGAGAGAAAGAGAGCGAGAGAGAGACGTAGACAGACACGGTCATGTAGTAGGAGCAGGTCACATTTTTATAAATTTTTCTCATGATTTATAGTTTTTCTTTCCTTTTCTATTATTATTATTATTATTATTATTATTATTGTTGTTGTTCTTCATTTTATTATTCATCTACACTAAGAACTTCACTGTCCCAGTTTCAGCTGCTTCCAACGTGTGCGGCGTCTGCATGAATCCCGTTCAGGCGCGGTCCTCACCGACAAGCCCTATCATCGCCCCTCATCACCGAATTTGTTGCATGATAATCCTTCCTCCTGCACGCCTAGATTCTCGCAACCAAGCTCCGTCGTGAGCTCTGCATCATCTTGCCTTCCAATTGCAATTTGGAGTGACTTCTTAAGGAGAGACTGCACATCACTTGCCCTACAACTGGCTTTCAAATCTTTAGAAAGAAAGTTTTAGCATACCTTTTCAGGGCTTCATGTTTAATAGGCTTTCTGGACATCTGTTTCAGTTGCATGATGTAGCTTAGAGGACCTTGTTTGACTATGAAGCACAAGGATTAAGTAAGAGAATTGTAAAACAAATGATGTGGAAGTAGAAATTTGACTAACTGTGCATATGGATTAGTAACGTGGTTTTCTGCATGTGGGTTAGTTATCACTAAGTGAATAGAAAATAATAGACAATGGTCAGTTCACAACTTGCAAAATATTGTATATGACTGAAGTTTAAATCCTAAAGTCAAAGCCAAAGTTGTTGTATCTTCCAAAATAAGAACTTTTAGACATTATTTACACCATTAGAATCCTAGGTTCTAAAAATACAAGAATAGGTGTGAAGATAAAATGCACCCATCTACTCAAATTACAAGATGAAGTCACATAAGAATTGTTCGCAATTGGTGGTATGAAGTGAGAGGTACAATTGTTAAGAATAAGGAAAGAAGAAACTCAAAACAAGTGAAAGAAGTATAGTTAAATAAATTTATACTCCATAAACATGTCTTAGTTTGCTCACAAACTTTTTACTTAATAAAAAATAAAAGAGAAAAGAAACAATTGCTTATAAAGGTTTTTTTAAAATGTGATTTCAAGTTACTTTTAGTAAATTATAAACTTTTATAATTTTAGTTAATTTAAATTAATTTTATTGCTATAGAAAATAAAAAAATAAAAATTAAATAAATAGATCTTACCTTAAGGATAAATAAGTTTGAGCTTCACTAAGGCTCACAAATGGTGTATAGGATGTCCTAGAAGGGCCATGAGGCTTTATTCTTATCCTCCTATCTACATTTAAGATGCTACAATCCATATAAGACATATTGTACCTTTCTTTTTACAACTAATACACTAGTTGTTAATTATTATTATTTTTACAAGTAAAACATATTTCTTTTGGCATTTTTCACTTTACTATGGTATTCAAAATCACTCAATTAGTTGAGGAGCCTTAATGAGCTTTTAAATCTTATTCCAATTCTTTATAACGGCCCATGAAGGTGGTAAAATTACTTTTACCAAAGTCTTAAATATATGCTCTAAAAACTCTTAAAATATCCTAAAATAATCCTAAAAAGTCTCATAATTTTTTAAGATGCTAATATAAAATTAAGGTCGCTTTTATCTTACCTTGGTGCTAATTTATAGCAATAAAATTAATTTCAATTAACTAAAATAATCTTGTTTTCTAAATAAATTACTAAAAAGTCATGAAGTTTCTTTTTCATGCTTCTTCTATCTATTAGCTAACATTTATAAGATTTTAATAGGTAATATAAATAAATATTAGACCATATAAAATATTACTTTTAATAAATAAATACAAATTATCATATTTAAGAGAAATATACTTAATCATATAAAGTAATTCTATCTAAGACTTAGTAAGATTCTAATTTAATGACTTTTGGTTTAATCAAACTCTTCTAACTTACAAAACCTTCTAAATCCTATTAAATGCTTAGGTCATCAAATAAACTCTCTAATATTAATATTTTTATATCCAAACAATATTAAAACTTTATTTTTAATAATTCCAATAATTTAGATGCATTGATAAGATACATAACAGATTAAGTTAAAATTAAAAAATAAAGATATCAAAACTTTTGAGCACACCTATATAACCTTAAATCGTAAGCTTCTAAATTCTTAAACTCTTAGTCTTCTTATACCAAAAGTCAAAGTCTTGAAATCAAAGTCAAAGCAGTTACATCTTCCAAACTAGGATATTGTATAACAAAGTATTTTTACTATTAAAACCTTAAAAATAGGAAGGTATATTAAGTTATAATTAAAAATAAAGATGTAAAAAAAAAAAGTGCCTATACAATTCCAACCTATAAATCATAAAATTTAAATTTAAAATCTTTAACTAACTTTAAAAATTGAACTTCTTAGATAATTAAGAATTTTCTTGTAATTAATTTTTTTGAGGTTTCTTTGATATAATCTAAATATAATCTTTTTGAATTACTATCCTTTTTGTACTATTTTATTTAAAATATATCTTATTTAGGCTTGCTTTTATATTTCACACTAACTTATGAATGTAGTGTTTATTGATTTTAAACCTATTTTAAAACTATCTTTTTAAGAATGTAGGGACTATTTCTTTTGACAATAATATTATAAGAAAACTATACATGTGCTGAAGCTCTTCATTTAGCCTACAAATTGCTTCATCTTAAATCCATAAGTATTTTGTATACTAATATTATAAGATATAACTCACAAAATTGCTACAATACCCAGAAGTTATACCCAAAGGACATAATAAAAAAAAATTTAATACATATTATTGAGTTTTGTAGTTGCTGTAGTAAATTCATTTGATTTTGAATGGTAGTTTTATTGTTTTTTTGTTGGAGTTAAAGGTAGTTTCATTGTACAGTTACATTGCTACAGGCTCCACAAATCCATGAATATGCCTTCATTTCTCAATTTCAAGGCCTACACACATCAAGATCATTACAAAAATTTAATCAATTCTTCTTGCATCAAGCTCTGTGAGAGCTGTTTGCAACTTGGCAACACAAAATCTTCCAAAGTAGGCTTTGGAAATAAGCTTTGGCATAATAGACATAGATAGTATGAAATCACAATAGCAATCCAAAAAGTTTCTAATATTTATTATGTTCTAACTATCAACAGCAATCTATTATCTAGACAAATTAAATGATAAAGTAAATATTGTTGTTTTTATGTTTGACCATTGATAAAGCCTATACTTAGGATCAACTGAGATCCATCTCATCTTTTCTATAAATTAAACTCCCAACATGCTACATGCATCATCCACCTTTTTGCATGTACTGTAGATAATTTTGAACTAACATCTTTACAAACAAAAATAATTAATCTTGCCTTACTTTGGTATTGATAAATAGATCATGCTAACATTCTATGTCTTTCTTCTAGAGTGAAAATAATTTATACTCCTATCTTTCTAATTTTACAAGTAATTGTTTATTCTATGACTCTTGTGCCAAAGAAAAGCTATTCAAAGCCAAAATTCTATAAAAAATTCTATTTAATATCCCTCTATCTATTTTAATTTTAAAATAAGATGTTATAAATGCTCAACTACTATATGTTATTGTGTGGAGCCGAATTCATACTTGCAACAAATGCAAGGAGATTAGACGGGAGGGGGCACAAATCCCTCCTATGGCAACTCTATTGGGTGGTCAATGGGTAGGATCAAGGGGCAACACTCTTTGCAGGGATTTTTGGAGGTAGAGCCACTAATAGAAATTTTCATTTCATACTTTCGATATATTTGGTTTTCTCTTTTTGGTAAAGAAAATGTTCCAAGTAGAATCCTACTCTTGTAAATTTGAAATTCTTCTTCTTAGATTTTGTTTTATCAACTTCGTTCTTAGTGTCTTTCTCATTCTATTATGTAGATGAATTTCTAAAACTTTTAAGACATCAAGCAACACATTGATGTTGAATTAAAGGCTAAAGTATTATACATATGTTTTGATAGGAGAAGTAAATATTTATCTACAAAAAATTTAATTTCGAATAAACTAACAATCAACTAATACCTATAGTTTCTACCAAAACAACATAGTGAAAAAGAAAAAAATAGAACCTTAGTCAAAACTACTAGGTGTATAGCTGCAAACAATAATTATCTACCTATCTTTGAAAGGAAATTATCTATGCATCAAATTACTGACAAAATTAAACTGTTTCTAAGATCCTTCATTTATTAATACCTAATGAATATTTTTATCATTGACAATCAAACTTATATTGTGATATTATATAAAATCAGCCTAAAAATACATTAAGCATCTGGATGTGGAAAGATTTGATCTTACATTAAAGTTGAATTTACAATCTAGAAACAATGCATAAGGCATTCAATAATGCCTTTTTAGCAATCTTCAATAACATAAGTAAACTTCCAATTGTGCTAAGTACACCTTGTCAATCTTAAATTTTTTTAGAAATATCTCATTACACTCTAATCATTTCGAAATAAACCTAAAAAATACTTAAAAATTCTAATTAATTCTAAAATAATTATAAAAATAAAAATCAAGAAAAATTCTTAAAAAATCTAAATTAATTATAAAGATATCTTAAAGAAACTTTAAAGACATTCTAAAGAAACTCTAAAAAAATCATAAAAAACCATAAAAAATCCTAAGTAAATTCTAAAGAAATTTTAAAAAGACCTCAATTAAATCTATTTTTTTTTAATAAAAATTCATAAAATTTTTAATTTTTTTTTCAAATCTTAAATAAATCCTAACCAAAGATTAATAAAATACTAATAAATTATTATTAAATATTAAATAAATATTAATAAAATACTAAAGATATCTTAAATAAATTCTAATCAAATTTGAATTAAAATTTGGTTGAAACTTAAAAAACTATAATCAACTTTGATTGAAATCTAATCAAAACCTAACTAATACTAAATAATCTTAATCAACATCTACTGTAAATTAAAAACCTTATTAATTATTAATTTAATATTTTTTATTAATTTTAAAATTTAAAATTATTAATTATACCAATTTAAAAAATACACATAAAAAACTTAAGAAAAATATTATTTATAGATTTGAAAAAAAACTCCAAATTTG